CTTGAAGTGGGCAAGTTCGCCAAGGAGTATTGGCGAACGTCGATGTCGAAATATCCGGATGTGTCCGGATGGTGTAACCCGGTTACACGTTCGCTCATCGACCGATGACGAGAAGACGGACCTGAAGCATATCTACATGACAACTTGGTTGCAGCTGCCTTGTACCAAGCAGGATTTCACACGAGCCGAGACGTTCAAGGCGTCAACGCCCGCGAACTGTCGAATGGTGTGTTTAACTGTGGAAATGATGGCAATGCCTTGACTGCACTAGACACGCAGTTGCAAGCATATCCCTTCAAGAAGCAGCTAGTGTTCTCAATACACTACAAGGCGGCAAGCGAGCACCTCTTGGTGTGTCTGCTCTCGACATTTTTCACGTACGCATGACTTCTCAAAGTACACGCAGCATTCCCGCACCGCCATGAGTAGAAATCCAAGCAACAGCAGCGAATCCGAACGTTCATTCCGGACCTCGACGAGATATTGGGTGGGGGAGTTGCCATGGGAGAAATCACTGAAATATGTACGAAGACCAGAATTCAATGGAGCAGTGGACTGTTATCACTTGTAGGTGGAGTTCCTGGTGTGGGCAAGACCCAACTAAGGTACACTTCCGCTCTGCTGCACGCGCATAACGCTCAACAAAGCATCCATCTCGCTCTTTGCGCTCAATTCTGTCGTACATCTGAGTCAGCCCTTGCCGAATCCATCTATATCGGTAAGCAATCATTTCTTCATGCACCATTCACAACATGCAGACACCGAGGGCAGCTTTTTGGTGCCTCGTGTGGTGACTTTAGCAGAATCCATCGCAGCATCACACCAAGACGGGACCTTCACTGGAACACCGGTTGTATGGTTGCATACTCACATGGCCATGCATTCTTGACGACTGATGCACCATCTCGCAGACAAAAGAGGACTTACTCCGTGGAATCACATACTTTCGAGTGTACGACTACCAAGAGCAACATGATGTCCTGCTGTCGTTGACTCGGATTTTGGCATCCCGTCCGAAGGTAGCTGCCTCATCCTCCACGCCATGCACTTGATTTTATTTTCACCAGGTTCGACTCGTTCTACTCGACAGCGTTGCATTCCACTGCCGCCACGCATTTGACGACAACAAAGGCCGCGCCAGAGCATTGCATAACATGAATGTGGTGCTGCGCAAACTGCTATCCGACTTTTCCATTGCGGTGCGTGCAACCACGTTGGACTGAAGGAAGTATTACCTCGCGTTGGCGCAGGTAGTTCTGGTAAATCATGTAACCACGTCGGTCGGGTACGCTGGCTCCGACTCTGCGATCGTTCCTGCACTAGGTGTGGTACTTGCATACCACTTGTCTCTCTCATGGGTGGAAACAGGGGAAGCGTGGTCGCATGTCATCTCGACGCGGCTATTGCTTCAGTGGGAGGTACTTTACCTTGGTTGTACCGGACGGACGTGGCCAACTTTACTCCTGTAGAATCACGTGCGATCGGTGCAAGTGGTGAAGTCGATCTCGGAAGCTGCCTTGTCGACGCATTTTGATGGTACGAGTGGAGAAGGATACCACGGGATGGTGAGGATGTGCGTATGTAGTCACGGAGCGCGGGATTGAGCCGTACAGTCGCAAGCGAAGTCGAGACTCCGAAGACCTGAGCCCCACATGTTGACGAGAACGTTGGGCTCACGTATTTTTTATTCGAACATGATTCGAATGCTTTGAGGCGTACGCGTTTCGTTGAAGTGACGGCTCATGTATTGGATGCAGTCTTGCAGCGGCGCAACCGCTGGGTTAGCTTTCTTGGCTGCATGTATTGCTTTCACACAGCGCTTCATCTTTGCATGACATGAAGAGCACTTCAAACCAGAGGAGATCGAGTTCAATTCGCACCTTAATCGTGGACTTGGTACGAAAGGCTCCTTTTTCGGTTGTGTGATCATACACCACGATGGCGGCGGTCATCGCGCGCAGACAGTAAAGCTCAGTCGCCGCATCCAAGTCCCTACCAAGCCATACTCAATGCCACCACGTCGTGCTTGAACTTCACCTGTGTGAGTTGACATAGGTGCATGTCAAGTTGGCCAACTGTGCAACGCTTTGTCGGGTGTGGGGGTTCTACTCTCCGTTCGTGGGATATAGAAATCATGGGCGAGAGCATTACATTGTCGTCGTGGAGGGTGCTGATGATGGCTTTGAGCATCGGCATGTGATCGGCCACGAAGAACGACAAGTTGTTCGCCATGGTTTCTGGGACTCTGGTTGCGTTGTGAAGTCGTGTTGAATGCACACGAACGTACTGCTCGGACTGGTTGTCCTTACTGGCGGCAATGTACCGGCGGTAATGGCTCAAATCGTTTTGAATGCCTGGGTTCATCGCCTACCACCGCAGGATGTAGCTCTCCATCCATAACTCAGACGTCAAATACTTTGAGGGTGTCAAACGTCAGGCAGAACACAAGCACGTCCGCGAGCCTCTTGAATAGTGCTGGGTGAGATGGAGCAACTATGCTTCGCTTGAGATGAAAGTTTGATTAGGCTATCATACCATTCCCCGACAACATCGACACTAGTTGATGGAATACAACGCCTTCAGACGTGACGAGTGAACAACACAAAATATCTTTGGTCAGAGATACCTTGCTTGTGAGCAGCCTGATAGAATTCCTGGATGACCTCGACATTTGGAATCAAGTGACTCAAGCTGTCTCGTCTGTACGACTCGTTTGTTGGGGAGGACATGCTCTGCCCATCATAAACCACGTCGTTCGACTTGATGTCTCAATGACAGCGCTGTACCTTGCGAACGTGTTCCTGGCAACCTTTATAGTCTTCGATCTTGGCTAATGTTTGTTTGTTTTCTTCGACAAGTCGAGTTGCATTGATGTAGAGTTCGCGTACAACCGCATCGAACGTTGCCATGTCGGCTTCGGGGGCTTCAGGACCTACAGACAGGTTGTCAGAGCGATCAGTACAGCAAAGAAGAACACAACGCACCTCCAAAAGACATGGCAAACTTCTCCTTGTTCATCCCATTCCCCATCGCATGCAGTCGTTCGTCGAGCCGAGTTTTCAATTCCGCGCGTGAAGCGTTTTCATTGCGGACGTTTCTCGGATTTGAAAAGCCATGCTCTACGGATAATATCCGGAATATCTTTCCTGATGTATGAAGGTGGGCCACATTGCAAGCAGGAAACCAGAACTCACTCAGCCGACACGCTTCTGGACAGAGTCGCGTCCTGATCATGTGAGGAGGTATGCGTATCTTGGATATCTTGAGGCTAGTAGGTCATGCGAAGTAAAGACGGTGCGGTGGGTGTTTAGCGGGTTTAGAACTTTATCACACGAGGAGTTCGTGGTACAGGAAAGATACGTGCATCTCCTCCGGCAAAAGTTTGAGCACTGCCAATTAGCAGGTGACCTCACGATCACAAAAACTCTTCACACGTTCTCAGCATGAACTTGCCTTGATCGATATGTAAGCGAAATCTGCGCTCGTCCGTTGCAAGTACAGATAACGATGGAGAGTTGAATCCAACCGCATTGCATTCGACTCCATCCCTCCGTAGTCTGATGGAACGTGAAAGCACGAGTGGCAGGAGACATCATGTAGGCTCGAGAAAACAAGAGGGATTCACTCTACATGGAACTCTATATTTACAATTTAGATAGGGGCTGCACTACTCCACAGGCCAAGTGGGAACGCAGATTGAATTTATAAACGCTAGCGGGGCCGGCGTCTTTTACAATTGGAGGGCCTTGTCGCTGGCATCCATGTACGCCTGCAAGCCACCAGTGGCGGCAAGGAGGAGGCCATAGAACGGAGGGCTTGGGTCGTTCGGGTGCGTCTTGAATTCGGGGTGGTACTGCGTGCCAAAGTAGAATGGATGGACGTCCCGGGGCAGTTCGGCAATTTGCATTCGCAGCCCCTTGTCACCCCGACCGACAAAATGCAGCCCCGCGCCTTCGATATCGGCAACAAAATCCGGGTTGATTTCGTAACGGTGGCGATGGCGTTCGAGGATTTCGGGCTTGTTTTGGTACAAATACGACGCAAGGGATCGCTTCGAGTCGCGAGTTGGCTCGAGCACAGTTGACCGCGCTCCGCAACGCATGGTGCCGCCCATCTCGTTCGGGTTAATCTCGGGCATGAATACAACGACCTTCTTCTCGGTAAATTCGTCGAATTCGCCACTGTTGGCGTTCTTCCACCCCAACACGTTGCGCGCGTATTCGATGGTGGCAACTTGGAAGCCCAAGCAAATACCCAAATACGGCACTTTGTTTTCGCGAGCGTACTGAGCGCACAGCACCTTGCCGTCTACGCCCCGGTCGCCAAAGCCACCAGGCACAACAATCCCAGCGCAGCCCTTCAGCTTGGCCCAGGCTTCCGCGTATTTTTCTGGCTCAGCAGTTCGAGTGACGAGGTCGAGGTCCACCGATTCGATCCATTCAATCACCAAGTCATGGTCCACTTTCATCGCGGCATGCTTCAAAGCCTTGATCACGCTCAGGTATGAGTCTTGCAGACCGGTATACTTGCCAACGAGCGCAATCTTAGTCGTTTTGGTAAAGTTGTCCACGCGGTGGGCCATGCCGGACCACTCGTCAAGATTGGGTTCCACATACTTATCCATCAAGCGCAGCTTGGACAACAAAATTGATGCAGCACCTTGGCGGGCCAACAACAATGGAACGTGGTAGATGTTGCTCACATCGTGCACACTGAGGACGTGGTTTTGGCTCACTTGGCAGAACATGCCAATCTTAGCGCGCGTGGCAGGCTCCAATTGGTTCGAGGCGCGGCAGATAATCACATCAGGGGTTAGGCCGGCGCTTCGAAGCTCCTTGATGGCGTGCTGGGTGGGCTTGGTCTTTTGTTCACCCACGGAGCCCATCACGGGCACCAACGATACATGGACCAAGCAAAAGTTGTCAACTCCTACTTTGAATTGAAATTGGCGCAACGCTTCGAGAAACACCATGCTTTCAATGTCGCCAACGGTACCACCGACCTCAATCAAACAAATGTCTGCAGGGGTCGAGTCACCATCCACGGGAATTTGGGCCACACGTTCGATCCACGCTTGGATAGCGTCGGTTACATGGGGCACAACTTGAACGGTTTTCCCGAGGTAATCGCCACGACGTTCGCGACGAATGACTTGTTGGTACACCTTGCCGGTTGTGATGTTGTGGTCCTTGGTGAGAGTGATGCCCAAGAAGCGCTCATAGTTGCCCAAATCCAAGTCGCCTTCGCCACCGTCGTCCAAGACAAAGACTTCGCCGTGTTCGAAAGGGCTCATGGTACCGGCGTCGCAGTTCAGATACGGATCGATCTTGATCGAAGTAACGCGCAGGCCGCATGCTTTGAGCACCACACCAATGCTGCTGATTGTGATGCCCTTGCCAAGGCCACTCACAGTCCCGCCGCTTACAGCCAAGTACTTCATCCGTCAAATTCAAGAATGAAACTCCAGTGGAGATGACACTTTACAAATCAATCTACAGCGTCCACGAAGGCGAATTGATTTTAGCAGAGTTATTCAATTATACAGAGGAAAAGATCAATATTTACTCCTGAGCACGACGGAGGTATATATAAATTATAACTAACCATTAAATTTCGAAGCACTGTTGTGGCGCCAAATTATCAACCAGACATTGCAGATTGGACAATTTGGCGGTATCCACTCAATGAACTTGGGCGATTTGGAAAAATGTGGAATATTTTGGATATTTTGTATATCATTTTGCCCAATTGCACAACACCTGGAGAAGTTCCCTCCATTCAAAACGCCTTAAAACGCCATGAAACCTGGCGGGATCGATGCAGAAATAGGACACGACCGAAATGAAGCGAGCCACTCACACGCGCTCCCTCCACGATCATGACAGCAAGGAAGGCCGCGCTTGTCTTCGGCGGCCTGTCCGTGTACGCAACAGCGACCATTGGGACGTACATCTACATGTACGACCCTGACAAAGGCAATGCAAAGCCTATCACCGGCGGCGAACGCCAAGCTCGTTTTGACATGAACTCTGCCATGTACGATCAAGGTTGGTGTGAGAACCTGTCGTGAATGGCACTTAATGTGAGGCATTCCTGTAGAGATCGACAGGGACGAGACCTTGGTTGGGATCAAACTCATGCGTCGCTTCTTGATCCAAAATGCATCAGGATCTGTCCTGGAAGTGGCGGCGGGCACGGGGCGCAACGTGCCATACTACGACAAGAACGTGACCGTTCTCTTGACAGATCTCAGCGCAAACATGCTTGGGCAAATCGCGAATTTGCCATCGCACATTCAGACGGCGATCATGAGTGCGGAAGATCTGGATGTTGCCGACGACAGCTTCGACACGGTCGTCGACACGTTTGCTCTGTGTAGTGTCGACAACCCTGTACAGATGCTTCAAGAAATGCAGCGCGTCTGCAAACCAAACGGGAAAATCTTGCTGCTCGAACATGGCAAGAGCAATTATTCGTGGCTTACCTACGTGCTGGATAAGTTTGCGTTGAAGCATGCTGAAAGGTGGGGGTGCTTTTGGAATCGTGACATTCTCAAGATCGTGTCGGACGCTGGGCTCGAGGTGGAATCGTCATATCGCTTTCACTTTGGTACGACGTACTACATAATTGCGCGACCAAACAGTTCGTCTAAAGCTACGTAACTTGACGTCGATTTCTTCATGGACGTTAGCACTTCTCACGGAAGATCTCGACCTCCGTGATCCGGATGTTATATCCGGCTAGTTTGGAGTACACTTGTCAGCATGGTCGTTGGCACAGGAGTCGGCACGGTCGTGTGCCTGGAAGTTCCAGTTGGAAGCGAGTTTGGCATCGACTACGAAGCCTTTCGCACCGCAGACAAGTTTCGCGGCGTCAAGTTGATTCCGCCTGGTCTCCATTTCATCTTTTACGCGTCCAATGGTGACAACGACAATGGACATGGCATTCGACAAGGCTTCTTCGTGGAGATCAAACCAAATGACGTGGTCATTCGAACATGGTCGTCGGAGACGGAAGAATTAGTTCCCATGACGCGAGAAGCAGACATTGAGAACCTCACGCGTACGTCATCCTTCATCTTCAGCGATCGAGCCTGACGCCGAGCACGCAGGAGCTGTCCACGGGTTCCAGTTGGACGGTAACTTGGGGGCGTATCCCCAGAAGCATGCCAAAAGTTGGCATCGCCTCTCCAAGTACATCACCAAAGACATCCTTGCAGTATGCTTGGATTATTGTTGAGGTTGGTATGCCGTATCGGATGATAGGTATTTCCACGTAGAAGTGCGGTTTGACTGTCGGGGGCACCATTTCCCCAGGCGACCCTGATGCGGTGTCGTTGGACCGCGGTGACGCCGCGATTAAACCTTTCTTTCCAGACGTGGCTCAAGTTGCGCGTTTTACTCGATTGACGAAGCCAACGTCTCAGAGAGTCGCGAGCGACTTGACACGGTATCACGTTGACAGCAGGTGCGCTCCATCCCAGTTGCAATCTAGAGATCATGACGGCGTGCCTGCATTGCAGCGAACACCTTGAGTGGTTGCTAAAAACGCACTACTCGAACGACTGGGTACGATGCATGGACCCGGCAGGAAACTTACACGGACCGTAGCGCGCCCTCCTCGGCGAAGTGCAACTTTCGTTTGTATTGTTTTTGTTCATATCATCGCTTGACGCCCTCCATCAATGGAAGCAGGTGAGAACTGAACCATGCACGGCTCACGTTGCTGACGGATTTGGCCAGTTTGTATGGATGTTGTGCTCGTGTGAAGATGCCGTGACGACGCGACCAGAACTGTTTGCCGCGTTTCTCCAGCTCACCCAGGTGCACTTGGAACAGGTCCGTGCCGTCAATAACTACGTTCCGCCGGACGGGAAACGATGCGCTGACGTGACGTTAGGTTGGGACCGACTTTTTCCAAGACGAATTGGCCACCGACAACTTTATCAAGGCCTCCCTTGCCTCGCTCTTTGAGATCCTGCACGACGACACACTCAATGACAAGGTATGTAGCACTTTTCGCGTGTGTCGTGATCCACAGGTGAACTTGTGTAGCTGCTGGAGCGGGCAGCAAAGCTCAAGCAGTTTTTGAAGGACCGGTTCCAGCTGCAGTTTGACGTGATGGGCACGTATTGTTTTGGCGATGATGACAGTGCGCCGGCCGTCATCCTTCCCGATCAAGTAGGGCACCATCCTTGACTGTTTCGTTCATCGTGTCGAGCGTAGCTACCGTCGTTTGTATTCACGCAAGACGCTACGGACTCGGACGACGCAATCCGTCGCATTGCTCGAGACCTCCACGGCCAAACGAGTGACATGGCATAACTAACGAAGTGCATCGAATCTTCTCTATGTGGCGACTCCATCCTAAATTAAATGTACGGCACGGACCCAATCACGCCAAACTCGATGATCTTCCACTTCAACGCGGACGCTTCCTCGTCGTACTCGCGACGGAATGCGAAAATGTAAAAGTTGGCCTGGATATCGTCCTCGGCTCCTTCGACAATCTCGCCTTCTCGGTTCCGAATGCAGTTGATTTGCTGCGCCATGAGTTGAATCCCAATGATCGGCGCTTGCTTGTCCTCCGCCTACCGTCACAAGGTGAGCACAACCGGTGGGCCACAACGTGACATACCGAGAGCGCAATCACAGTCACGTTGCGGATGGCAAGAATGTTAGGGTCCACGACCAGACCATCCGACTTTCGCTCGCGGATCGCCATGTTGACCGTGTTGTACGCAGCTTCGCCCATCCACTGCTTCAGGTCGCGGCTGTTCCCTCGCAAGAATGCATCCAGCACATGCGGCACCACGTTTTCCGCCACCGCCTACCACATCGTTGAGCACCAACTACATCGAGCATTGCATCATCGTACATCTTTCCACGTTTCCACGTCAAAGGACGGATCGGCGCGGCGAATTTCCTTGATCGCAATGCTCTCGGCCGTCTCGCCGAACAAGCCATCGTAGATTGACGACATGCGGTAGACCCACCTACGAAACACAACGTTCGGTTCCATCCCTGGGAGTACAAGTCGAGCAAGGCCACGCACGGGTTTTGACTGGTCTCCCAATACTCTCGGACGTCTTCGGTCGCGTCGCCGACTTTGTCGCGGGCTTTCTTGGCCGTGGATCCAAGCACCTTGCCAGCTTCCGTCTTGGCCGCTTGGTTGGCAGCATCAAGAAGGCCTTGAATGATGGGAGTCTCGCGCAGACGCGACGCCACACGTTCCCATGCAGTCTGCTCGCCCTTGACAACGACCATGGCCGTCGTGCCTGTGTACTCTGCAACAGGTTCGTCATCCGCGGGTGTGTCCTTCACCTTGCGCTTGTCCGCCAAAGACGACGTGAGGGTTTCCTCGACAGACTTCTTCTTGTTCATGCCAAAAACTTCGTAGAACGTTTCTACTAACGTCTCCTTGACGCCTTGGGGAGCACTCCCCACGACTTTGGACTTGACGTTGTGGAGAGGGTCAAAGAACTTTGATTTGGCCTCCTGAAAGTACTCACTCTTGTTGACCTCTTCCTTAGCTTGCCGCAACGTTTCCTCGAATTGGTCCTTGGTTTGTTGTGCGCGTTTCTCAAACTGTTCCTTCGCATCCTTGGACTTCTCCGTAGTCTCCTTCGCGGCATCGTTGTTCAATTCAGCTTGGATTTCCTCCTTCAGCCTCGAGAAGAAGCTCATGTGGCGTGCTGGCATGTTGGCCGTCACAAGGGTGGCATGTTCCGCAGAGCGGACCTGGCGCGCCACCTGGACGATTGAGTGGCGGATCATCTTTCACTCGAGGCAATCGTGTGATAATTCGTATCCGGATGACGCATGAACCTTTTATCCAACAATTCCAACCGCCCAATGATGCGTCAGCAGGGACATGAAGGACACGAATTGGCTATAAATCCAATAAAATAAGCGAATAGGTTACTCTTCTTCACCATACGAGCATTTCATTGGTTGAATGTACAAAATTGCCACATCGCATACTTGTGGAATCGCGCCGACTTCGCAAGCACATGCTCGGGGTTTCTCTCTTTTGGTTCCCTCTATAAACGAATACACTGGCAGAGAACGTACTGTGCAGTTTTTGACTCCCAAAACGCATCGCAGAAATCGCAGGGCAGTTACATGGGATGAAACGGGTGATGCGTTGTAGGTCCATGCCCCAGGTCAAGCTCGATGCCTGACATCACACGTGACGCGGACCTGCTGAAGAACCTTGGGCGCCTCGTGGAGACGATTCCCACGATCGATCACGAGACAGGGACGTCGATTGCTGCATTCGGCGACTTGGAGAAGATCGGCGCCGAGGAGAAACCGTTCGTGTTGTTTGAGTTTCAAAAAGTCGCGGACCCAACCATCCCGTTCTACCTCCAAGGAAGTGCTGAGTTTCAAGAAGCTGAAGCCCTTGAGAAGCGACGGCAGCTCAAGCAGTCACGCCACGTCGGGGAGGCCATTCTTCAGTACTGGAGGGTCTTTCCCAAGATTGTCGTGATCGACGAAAACGTGATCACAAAGGCAGAGTACATGCAAGTGATGCTGCTGATTTTCAAAGTCCTGCGAAGCGATTTTGAAAAGGCTACAGCAACGATTCAAATCGACAAAGACTGGATCGTCGATTCTAAGTCGAGCCAGTACATGACCTCCGCCATGTTCTTCGATGCCTTGTTTGAGCTGGTAGGGTTTCCACCGCGGCGATATAGTGGAATGATCGTGCCATGTACGTCAGGTTGACGTGTGGACATGCGACATCGAAGAAGCGACGTATGTTGGGTTTCTAGACCTCTTGTACAAGCGCATATCGGTACGGCCGCGGCTCAAGTCGTTGGTTTTCCAATCCGCGGCGATGGCTAGGTGCGCGTGATCGTGTTCTTCGACGGCACCGTGATCAAAGTAACGCTGGAGAACAAATCCAAGTCATTGCATGAACTCATGGCCGAAGCGGTGCCGCTCGCAACGTTGAGTGCGTTCAGCCACATCGCTCGGTACATGGGGAACTCGTCGATCACGACAATGGGCGATTTGGCCAAGGCAGAACCCGTCGACATTGAGCGCATGCGTCTCGAGTACATCGAAAAGAATAACCTGTCGACGGAAATGTTTGGTTCCGACTTGTTTCAGGTACTGAGTTTTCCGATCCATTCCACGGGCACGTCTTAGCGAGTTGCAGGTTCTCGAGCTCATGGGACGTGTCGCGTCGGCGGAAGTGAACAGCCTCAACTCGCTTGTGAGTCTCACGAGGGCCGACCCGGCGCTCATCGATTGCGTTCGGCAAGCTTTTCTCACCGCCCGCCGCATCTCGACCACGGAGCAAACCACGATGAACAACATTTTGGAAGAACTGGTCAAGTTTGGTATCAACCCGGAGACGCTCGCGAGTGATTCGATGGCAAAGGAGACGTACATGAGCTTGTTTACGTTATTCGTCGTCAAGACGGGGGTACGACCATCTCCACCGACCATGCCCCTTTGACTCATGGGATGGTTCCCACAGGGCGAAATCGCCGACTTGGCGAAGAGAGACTTGATACGGATCAAGGACCAAATGGAGCGCCATGGGCTCCACGTTCCCGAAGACATGATCGAGTTCAAGTACAAGGAATTTTACAAAACCGTGATTAAAACCACGGGCGCCGAGGTCGTGCAAGGTGCCAAACAATGGATCGCCACCAACTCGAACGAGGCGTCGCTGTCGTCGCTCATCGAGAACGAATACGATGAGTTTAAACCTCTTGACGAAGCACACGCCTTCACAACCGACGACGCTGAGTTCACTGCGCTGATTGCGCCAACTTCGAGCACCACTACCGCGCCGGTCGTACGAGCAAAGGAGGATGCTGTAAAACGTGTCAAGACCGAGCCAGTTGCAGCAACGCCAAAACCCTCGGCAATGCCAGAGACGGTGACATCCCCCGTCATTCCAGTGAAATTTGCTCCTCCCAAACCAGTTGTGCCCGATCCAAAGCCACCCAAACGAAAAAAATCTCCTCCTGCGGCGGAAGTGGTTAAACCGCCTGCAAAAAAGTTTTCCAAGCACCATGTCCGGGTCCTCGACCACCAACCGATCCAGAGTGATGACATGAATGATGGCCAAGAGCTATTGAAAACCTCCATCGTGGAGCCTCCAAAACCTAGCCCGGTCGATATCGTCGAGCAAGTTCGGTCAGCCCCCCTGGAAGAGCCCACTCCAGTCGAGCAACAAGCCAACAGAGCGCCATCGGAAGTCGACTCGACAGTGGAGCCAGTTGACCACGCAGAGATGTCGGCCCCACCGCCTCAAGAGAGCGTCGTGGAGGTCCAGCCATCAACACCGACAAAGCCTTCTGTCCCGGCATTAGAGCAGTCAGACAAGTTCGTCGTGGATGACTTCGTGCGCCGCGCCATCCCCCCCGACATGGATTCCGAAGGGGGTCGAAAGAAAACGCTTCTCGAGTGGAAGATGCAGCCACCTCCCATTTCATCGCCTCGAGAAGACAGGAGCAAGCGCAAAAAGTCCGATTTGGAAGGTACATATGCACGACATTGTATTAATCTCAATCTGGTAGAGACAAAGTCCCGCCGCCAGCTCGCTTTGCCAAAATTCTTGTTGGCGGCCTCACACAGGAGAGCGTTCCAACCATCGCACGCTATATTCATTTGCTCGGATTTGGCGAAGGTGCGACATGAGGCTACGAAATTGCAGATTTCAGCTGACTCGATGCAGTATTGCATGCTAAGACAAAGGAGGAGGCAATGGACTTGTGCGACCCCAGCTCTGGCCCGGGCATGGATCTGGTACGCTTCAACCGTGCTCACTGTGCATGTTAATTCTGTATCATGCATTAGGTTTGTTTCGTGGTTGGCGCCCACCTCGATGCCGCCATTCCCGTCTTGCGTGCCTTAATGGACATGGTTGGCCCTCGAGTCCTTATCATTGGGGGCGACCCCAGCGATCCTCTCAAGACCAGTACTGTCGCCGTGGAGGTTGTTTTGTGTCGTCGACGCAGTTTCCTTGCATCGATATTGATTGAAAATCTTGGTAGTGTGTCGCTGAAGGCGCGCTGTACTTTGCGCCCATCCCCGTCGACTACATGGCATTGCGAGAACGGATGCAAGTGGTGCTCGAGAACGCTCCGCAAAAGTTTATCTTTCGACGGAAACAAGAAAAGGCGCCGGCATCGCCTTTGTTCAAAGCATTGACCAAACCCGACGCCAAGACGAGCCCTACGACAAGCAGCAAACCACCAGAGAGCTCGTTCAAAACGCAGGCGCAGTCCCCTCCATCAAACGTCCCGCCCGTTGACTCAACCCCTCCTTCCAAACGGTGATGGCATCGCGTGCGACGACGCAGTTTTGTCAAGTTCTTTTTTGTAGATCGTGGTTCGGGGCTCGATTGCCCACCTTGCGCGACTTCGTGGGCGGCGGGCTCCAAAAGAAGGGCAGCTTCTTGACCCAGATGGTCAAAAAGTCGTCCAAAGGCAACGTAATTGCTCCAACCCCCATCGTGCCGTCGTCGCCACCCAAGTCGACGAGTTTTCAATCGATGAAGCGATTCACTGCATCGTTTCGAGGATAACTCGTTCAATCTATTTAACACAACGTTCCAACTCAGCCCACGGACTTGTCTGGGTCAACGGATATGCCGTTGAGTTTCTGGTGCAGGTACATGCCCCAGTCGATCAGGCGAAGGCGGAACACGAGGTTGGCATAATCGACGGTCCACCTGCGGCATGAAATTCACGTTGAGATTGATTCAGCGTCGAAGTCTGTACCAGAAAGACTGCCATGGCGTGAGGGCGGCGCCAGTGGCCGCGCGGTCCTGCGACAGCCCTTTCAACGCATACATGCCAAAGATCTGAAAGCGTTGTCTGGTCGACGTCGTGAGGGGATAGTTCACGCAGTCGTAATGCAGCCACACGTACCGAGAATTCCCGCCCAAGTCTTTGTTGAGCGATCGCGTGAGATTGGTGGACCGGAAGACAAATAGCATGTCTCGTGGCAGGTGCTCAAAGAATTCGTTAACGTTGGTGCCTTGAAGGGATTTCAGGTCCTGACGAAGTGCTTGCTTCTCCTCTGCCGACATTTGCCCGCCCATAATCGTCTTGCTGTTCATGGCGCGATAGGTAAAGATGAGCGGGAAAAATTTGGTGTACGGGCCAACGTGAAAGCGTTCGCCGCATTCCATGAGCAACTTGTTGTCACGGAGCAGCAGCGCCTTCCACAGTCGACAAAACGTTTGTCGAAAGTCGTCGTCGAGTTGCCTGTACAGGCCGTGGTCGAGGAGCACGATTTGCGCCTGCCACGACCATGACGATTGCCATCACACCTTTCAACGTACTTCACGTGGACGATGTGGGTGCCGCCGAACAAACAAATTGCCAGGATGAGGGTCGCAATGCACAAACCCGGAGCAAAACACCATCTCGGCGAACATCGCCGACACTTTCCCGGCAATGTCGACAGGGTCGAGGCGCAGTTTTTGGGTAATGGCGTTCGTGTTGGTTACTTTGACGCCATGGATGAACTCCATCGTGAGGACGCGCCTCGTGCTGAGCTCGTCGTACACCTATCGGCGACGAAACAACCTGATCACATGGCTGCCAACATCCCATGCACTCGCCCCACCGTTGGAATATACACGAACGGCGTCGAGCGAAAGAGCGCTTGGATTTTGCGACTGTTTTGTTTCTCAGCGCTAAAATCCAGCTGAAATGCATAAGAGACGTGTTCGTTTGGGACGACGAACCTCCGCTTCCAAGGCTTGCTCGATTTCAGGAATGATCCATCGAACACTGATGTCCCAGATCCGTTCGATGGCGTAAATAGCTTGGCGCACGGCCCATAGGTCGCTCGCCAATGTCTTGGCCAGCTTCGGGTATTGTATCTTCACCGCCACCTCTCGCCCGTCTTGTGTTACCGCGTGGTGAACCTGCGCCAGCGATGCAGCTGCTATCGGCTTTGTGTTGAATTCGCGGAAAAACTGGTCGAGTGGGCCGCCGAGTTCGGTTTCGACGGCGGACTTTGCTTCCTACCACCATCGCGAGGTTGAGATGCGCTGGAGAAGCGTCAACTCACGTACCTCAAACGAAACGGGTAAGGCCTGGTCTTGCAAGACGCTCAATGTAGACGTGTACTCGACAGGTAGCGCATGGTTTAACGATGCCAACTGCTGTCCAATCTTGGTGAACACACCGCCATTCTGCTTACACACATGGAGCAAGCGCTCGGCCGTGCGAAGATTGTACGCCCGTAGTGCCGTCTTGTAGTCTTCGTGCAGCTTTTTCCAGGCATGCGACGTATCAGCGTCTACTTCATCAGGCTTTGCTGGGACGTTTCGCTTGAAGTCGACGAAAGTTTCAGCGCCTGCCTTCGCTACCCGCCCAACACGCGTGGGTACGTGGCTGTGTCACTTTGTCAGATCCACATCCTTCGAAACGCTGCCATTACTTACTTGGTGGCGGCATCCACGCCGACTGCGATCCCTGCAACCGAAAGGACCGCGGCGCCAAGTCGGCGGCGGGTCATGGACTTGGTGGCGTCGTTGAATGCACGTTTGAATATCGTCGTCCAATTCGACGTTTCGACGTGCCCCTAATATGCGTGAAATATTTAATACGATGCGTTAAAGTACAAATGCTTGGGACCATATCGGTTAAACCTAAACAACTACTTGATTTAACACGCTTTTTTCATATTGACCGCCCGAGACTTCCATGGGCTTCTCACATTCGACAGTTACACTCGTCGCTTACGGCGTCGCCGCGTCCAGGTCCATCATGACGCCGTGGGCTCGCACTTGACTCAAGCAGCAGTAGTATTTGGGCGTGTTGTCATCCCCATGGGCTTGCATCCATGTCGGAACGTCGAACGTCTGTGCTTGATGGCGTCCGATCATGTTCACACTCATGTACCCGTCTTGCAGGATCACTCGGAGAGGAAGCTCGAACGTTTGTACCTGGTCCATGTATCAGTGGGTTGCCGCAATCAATTCAGTCAAGGTCATGCTTACCACCATGTCGTTCACGACGTCAAACACAGGGGACACGTAGAACGGAACTTCGTGCTCGGAATCGATGTTGCGTTCGTTGGCAAAAAACGAAAACGACACCTGCTTTGGTCCGTAGGTTGGTGCGTGGGGATGCCAAAAGACGCGATACGGCAACACGGACACGGCTCGGACGATGCAATGGCCTCGCATGCGATAGAAGATGGATTCTTCCGCGTTTGGTGAAGAGGACGCCGCACTACATCGCGCCAGCGATCTATGTTGTGAATCATCGAAACGACAACTGTGCGTACCTGCTCCAGTAGCACGAGTTTCCAGACGAGCACCCGCACAACATTTGGATGGTTTCGCCCAGCGATGATTGCCGGCGCGAGAGCAACCGGAACATAGAGAAAGTGGACAGTTCCTGCAGATTGTAAGGATGGACTAACTCGTCCCCGAACCTCTGGATTTCACCCCAGCATTTCGATGGCCGAAGGGTGTTTCCAGGGCCTTCGCTCTCCCTGTCGGCTGACGAGAACTCTAACGCAGTTGTTGGCCATGCCATTTTGCAAGAACACAATACGTACTTAATACATCGGCGATGAGGTTCTCCTGGCAGTACTTGGATGAATTTGCGAGATTTGTCAAACATGCCAGTCGCTTCCACACGGACATTGCTTGGCGGTGGTTGCTGAAATTTTTCATTGTCGCCGATACTGAGCGAAACCATTGCGTCTTGTCAAGGACAATACTGCGGACGACATCTTGTTTCCAGCAATTGTAACCTTCCATCTGGATGCGAAATCGAGGATGCGCCGCTTCCAAGTGATGGATGTCCATGTGATTGAGGCAGTCGACTATCTTAGCGACAATTTCAATTGGGAGCATCACAAGGTCGTCACATCGAAAACTCACGGACCCATGTTTGGCGGTGACGCACACCATCTCCTCTGCCTCTGGAGAGTGTGCGGGGTTGCACCAGAAGAACATGGCGACGAGGAGAATGGCGAAACTCGAATGCTCGGTCGAGTGATCGATCCTTCCGTCGTCGATTCTTCTATCTTTCGGTGGCAGTTGTCCGAATACCATAGGACGACTTCAACGAATATCCGGATGAATGTGGTTGAGGATCGTCAACTTCAAAAAACTGCATGACATGTCTTGCAATTTGTATGTAATTCTATTTGAATACTTTGAACGGTATTGTTATTGGTCAACGTGCCAATCAAACAGTCGAGTCGGACTGTCACTGTGGCACAGTCGTGGCAACTCACCCAAGGCTACGAGATGAAGCACACCGCGCTCATGGCTGCCGTCGTCGCAATGTCTGCACAGGCGTACGATATCTACCGACTTCGCATCCCGAACGGCCTCACGACTACAGTGGACGGCGTATCGGCTGTTGGCCACGTGAATAAGTTTGGTAGTGGGCGGTCCACATCCTTCGGTCGGGACTTTGAACGGCTAGGGGGCAAGTGGACAAAAGAATTGTGTGAAAAGGACTCGGACGGAGACGGCGCCACGAACGGGGAAGAGCTTGGCGATCCCTGCTGCACTTGGAAGGTTGGTCGGCCCGTGCGGAAGAACCCGACGTCTCCTGGACATAAGAATACCTTCACGGAAGACCAATTGGCATCGCTGAAGTGCCAGGACGACGAAATTGTATCAACCCACAGTAAGTCAGGTGCATCGCCCGACGAGCTCTAGACGAGGATAGGAGTTACGGCGTTTCCTGTGCTGATGTTTGTTATGAGAAGACAATGCACCGTTGTATAAGTTTGTCAGGTTGTCGTGCGGAGGCGGCGGCTGCACCAGCGCAAGGGACAAGCGTTCGCTTGATGGCACACCGTTGGCGGGTCGTTGTGCGCTGGGGATCGGACCTTTGAAAATGCATAGTGCGATTGGAGTTGGGAGGAGAGAGGTAATGGATTTACACTTGCAATTTGTATGGTTGTGTCGGTGAACCACAAAAAAAGCCAAAAAGAACACAGCGCAAAATACGAGCTCGACAGCAAGTGGCCGACAAGATTAGCAAGCGAGACTCCCCTGACAAGGATGGATAAGGACGAACAAGAGGTGCAGCAGCAATCCATGCAGCAAGAATTGAATGGACATGACACGCAGGAGCACAGTGACCTGAACCTGCGCCCGAAAACGATGTTTGATGTGAAAGGCCGCGCGCGCACGAGTGACACCACGCCCGAAAATTACCTTCCACAATGGTCCAAGGACGGCGAAGGGTTCAAGAAGCAGTATGTCGCCCAGGAGGAACGAGATCGACGAAAGAACAAAGGTAGAGAGTTGGCAGTGGAACTATGTGGCTGTGATGCTTCCATTGCCTTGTAGTTATTCGGTACTCGAGAGACGAGCTCTTGGAGATGCACGTTGATAGCTCGACTCCCCCTGAGTGCCCTGAAGGCACGCCGGTGATTACACCTGAGAGCTTGCCACCAGTTGCCAGCATTCCGTTTGATTACATGGCAATCTACAAGCAGTGGGCTGCGAACAAAGATCGCAATCGTCAACCTGGACGCGGGAGAGGTCAGCCTCGAACAGACGAAAATACGTCCAGTGCGACTCCATTGACCAACAACCGAGTGAACAATGGGACCAACAATGCAGCCGGTGGACGGTCCGTCGGTTCGAGCAACGCGAACGAGGGCAAGCGCACCAGCGAAGACTTGAACGACTCATCAACTGGACGGAAATGGAACGACAAGGTAGCTTAACCAATGCCGAGTGGGTGGTCTGATGGTCTGGTGTTCAGCGTGGTGGGGAAGACAGCTGGGAGCGAGGGGCCAGGATCGAAAGCAGTGGCGACGGCGACAAGGATGACTTGTGGGATGACGTCGATCCGTTGGGCGGCGAATTCAAGGATATGGTACTAACTTTATCAAGATTGTGAGCTACAAAGTAACCTGGCACTTTTCTTGTAGGGGTTGTCGACGTTCGCGGAAGCAGCCGAGCAATTTCGTCGTGAAATGGATGAAATGCATCGGGCTGGAGGACGCCCTGAGGTATGCTGATCTGGACAATGAAGCAGTGGGGCCAATGGGGTGCATTTAGTTGCGTCAGAAAACTACGATGGAGAGCGAAGACCAGTTTGCCGACAGCGTCCAGGAAGAAGACGAGCCGCCTATGTGGGACATGCCATCCACGGACAATGCACCGAACGCGGCAGTGGACGCGGAGCCATCCGACCTGTCGTCGTGGTCTTCTTTCAACGAGCAGCCTGCAGCTCCGTTGCACGTGAACCCAGTTCCCGTGGACGCTTGGTTCTATTTGGACCCGCAGGGACTGCAGCAAGGGCCGTTCAAGTCGGCTGAGATGCGCGAGTGGTTTGAAGCTGGGTACTTCAAACCTCACTTGCCAATTCGATTTGGCCTCGAGGGCGAGTTTGCGTCGCTTGCCAACCATTTTCGACACGGTCAAATTCCGTTTTCAACCGTGCCCAGCCCGAATCCGACCCAGCATTTACTCCAGCAACAACAGCAATTGCTGCTCCAAAAGCAGCAACTGGAACAGCAGCAATTTCTCGCCAACCAATTGCAACAACAACGTCTACTTGAGCAACGCCGCTTGCAAGAAGAGCAGCAACGTCGACTTCAAGAAGAGCAACGCATTCGTTTGGAAATGCAACAACGGATAGAGCTTCAAGAACAAGCCGCGCGTTTGGCGCAACAACAACACTTTCATTACCAACGACCCACCGGTCCAGGTGCCGTCGGATCCGCCGGCGCTGCGATCGGGGCTGGCTGGAGTGGCCGCACAGCCCTGCCGCGCGACAACATCATCCCAAGAGCTCGCGACAGCATGATGGGTGGCCTCGGAATGTTTGCCGGCCCGCCACAGCCCGCAAAGACAGAGTATGCTGCTCCTTCATGGGACACGAACGACGACGTGCCAAATTCGTCGCTGTGGAACTCAACTGTGAAGAACGATTCAGATTTGGGCACTTGGAACAAACCAGCCGAACCGGAGTCATCCACGCCGTGGGTAGGCGACGAATGGAATAAAGAGGCAACTCCTACTGCTGGATGGGGAGCGTCGCAAGTAGAACCTGCGCCCCAGGCATCCCCGAAGGCATCGTGGGGCCTGGAAGAACCTTCGGCACAGTCGTCGACGTGGGGTAAACCCGATGGTGGACCGCCCGCGAGGTCATCGTCGTCATTTGAACCGGAGGCGTCTGTCGAAGCAACCAACGTCGCCCCCAAAGCAGTCGAACCGACATGGGAAGCCCCACCCGCACCAGAAACCCCCTCGCTCAAGCAAATCCAGCAGGACGAGCAAGAAGTTATGCGCCGCCGATTGAAAAAACAAGCCCAACCCCTGCAGCCCCGTCCTGTCGACCCTCAACCGGCTCAGCCGGAACAACAACCCCACTTGGCTGACATGGGCCAACAACTCAAGCGTATGTTGGGAGTGTCGAACCCAAGCCCCCCCAAGTCATGGGGTTCCCAAGCCGCAACCGCGCCCGCCCCTGTCGCACGTTCTCTGTCGCTCCGTGACATTCAAGCCGAAGAAGAACGTTTGGCGCAGCTCAAGCGGCAAGAAAAGCCGGTCCAGTCCTCTTCTCGTTGGAGCAGCGTCGTGACCGGGACAAACCCTGCTGCACCGTTATCTGCGGCGGTTGTGACCCGCCCCGCCCCCGTCGAAGTCAAGGCGACGCCGCCGAAAGACCGCGACGCGAGTTTCTGGAACTTCGACGCGTCGTCACCACTTACCGGCACAGCGCGGCCGGTCACCCCCGGCACATCCAACGGCGGAAATGCCTCGGACGATTTGTTGTTGTGGGCGTCCAAGCAAGTGAAAAAGTTGGGCGGTGCCGAAGACTTGATTCAATACTGCGCGACGCTGGAAGACCCTGGTGAGATCCGCGAGTACTTGGCAGCCTACCTCGGATCGACCCCGAAAGTATCTGCGTTTGCGACCGAGTTTATTCAGAAGAAGAAGCAACTAGCAGGGAAGAAGCCGAGTGTGCATGACACTAAGGCGTCGGCCTTCCAGAAGAAGCAGGTCGGGTCGAACAAACACCACCATTAACAAAACGAGGGGAAACAAGACTGCCCCACCGCCTCCTATCGATTTTGCAACGTTTCCAAAATCAAATCGCGCGACAGCATGTGGAACCCTTCGGTCTTGGTCACGTAGTCAAAGTGGCGCACGATAAAGTGCATGCATATCTCGCGCAGACGCGACGCTTGAAGCTCGTCCGCCGCTTGCAGTAACACGCTGGCGTTGTCGACGACGAGGCCCTTCTGGACCATCGCTTCGCACAACCCTTTGAGGCGGTCCAAGCCATACATGTCGGCGCACGCATACAGCTCAATTGCCATCTCGGCCTTCATGTCGGGCGAGACCGTGTCGTTGTAAATGTACTCGAGCAGCGCCAGAAAAACTGGAACACGGATCAATGGCACCGGCACTTCCATCTCGCGCGATTCGCGCATGCCGGAGCTAAACATGGCCTAGAACACGCACCATCCATCAATCGATGCAACCGCAGGTCTCCAGTACCCTGAAGTGGGGACACCGCGCCGCCAAAATCGCGCGATGGCCATATATCCGCCGCGACTCGACCACAAACACGACGTCAGCAAAATCAGGTTGGTCCACGAGGGTTTGCATCTCATCCGAGTACGTTGAGTTGAGCAAAAGCGGACGAAATGCTTGGACGGGGTCTAGTAAGAGACAGCCCTCCATTCACGGCCAATCTGGAAAACCACCCGATCGAGAACGCACCCACAAGCGCGACCGTGTGTTCGTTGTACGACGCAACCGAAACCACTCGTTTGCCATGCAATCCGTCAACCAAACGAGGCAGGGTTACCTTGACCTGGTCATTGTGGCCCAACTTGCCATGGTCGCCATTGCCCCACGTAAACACGTCGCCCGTGTCTACGCAATTCGACTCTAAATGCCGGCATCAAGCACATGCCACGCACTTGTCAAAGCAACGGTGTGGCTCCACCCGCAAGTGATTTCCACCACGACGCGGTCCTTGAGCTTCTCGACCAACGAAGGAATCGTCTTGTTCACCTTGTCGCCGTGACCCAACTGTCCGTGCTCGCCACCGCCCCATGTGTACTACGCACACCCTCCACCATGACGTTGGGGCGTTTAAGAGGACGCTCGCATCACGTACCACTTCGCCACACTCTACTCGACATCATCAAGTCACGTCACGAACAAAAGTTTCAATGCACCTGTGACAGCTGCAGTGTGAAAGCCTCCACACGCCACCTGACGAATTGGACTCGACAGCAATGTCTCCACGACCTTGGCGACGATCTGGTTTCGCTCGCTATTGTGTCCCAGTCGACCGAACTTGCCTTCGCCAAACGTGTACAGCTCACCCTTGTCTGTAATCATCCACAGGACCGCAGTTCAATTGTTGTTACAAGTTCGACATGCATTCGTACCGCTCAAGGCAGCAGTGTGGAAGCCACATGCGGCGATTTGTTTGATCCCTTTGTTCTTCAATTCTTCCACAGCGGACGGCAAGTACTGGTGTCCATCTGTGTCGCCTTGACCACTGACGCCGTTTTCTTTGTCGCCCCAGGTATACACGTCGCTGTTTTTGAGCAGCACAACGGTGTGGCGCGATCCGCACGCGACCTGGTCGACCTTGAGATTCGACAACGTCTCGACCAAGTATGGAACAGAATGCCCGATCTCGTTGCCGTGCCCAAGCTTTCCATACATCCCGCCGCCCCACGTGTACAGTTCCCCGGACACAGTCACAGCTGCGGTGTGGTAGCTTCCGCACGTCACCTGTTTGATCTGTTTGTTCTGCAACGATTCGACTAGGCGCGGAACGAACTTCCATCCGTTGTCTCCATGGCCCAAGCGTCCGTCGTCGCCTCGGCCCCACGTGTACACGTCTCCTTTGTCGTCAAGCACGACTGTGTGGCCGCTACCACATGCAATCTGGACAACGACGCGTTCTCGAAGTGCCTCGACAACCACAGGACGATACTGGTCACTCGTGTCTCCCAGTCCGAGCTGTCCGTCTTCACCTCGTCCCCAACTGTACACTGCATGTACCCTTTGTCAATGGCGTCGATGGAGGTCCAGCGCACGTACCCGTCATCGTCCCAAGATATGCCTTGTGCGTTGGGCACGGCAAGAAGGTAATCGCCTCTGTATAAATCGAACTTTGATGCCGCAGCCAAAAAAAGGTTTTGTCGGTCTTTTGTTTTTACCATGAACAAAACAAAACCCCTAGAAAAGAGTTTTTTCAATCCTGTTTGCATGAACAGCGGCGCAAGGGACAGGGCACATGGCTGCAGCACACGGACACGTCCTTCGACTGTCGACGGCAAGCGTTCCACATGAGCTACTGGCCCTCCCCTTACCTATAGTGTGTTGTGTCTCGAATGCATGATGATCGTGTCGTGGAGCGGTGCATGACGACGCATGGAGTGGTGAAGGTTGAACATTGTCACACATGAATCCATGCTTCTACACATTTTCTGTGGGATCATCGCCTTTGGTTTCACCACCATGATCAGCGCTAACACACGACAAGCAGCAAAATCCAGTGCGATCGCGCCGTAGCATGTTATGGTGCAGTTGCAAGTCTAAGTCATCGCGTCGGCCGTCGTGACTAGCTCGAGCCCGTGATGCGCGTTGTCTTGGCGCTGCAACAATGTTGTCGGTAAACACTTCATGTTGATCGTTGAGGAGACTGTCGACTTCCTTGTATGCGCGTTCATCATGCGCAGCGGACGGTTGATGTGAAAGGTGTCTTCTTCCTTCGGACCATGTTGGTGGTACGTTGAACATTGGGCTTGGGCATCAAGTGGGTCTTCGTTGTCGTTGAGAACGCACAGGTTGTTTCAAGTGTTGCAAGCTCCCAAACGGCTCGGAGAGCTGTCGGATGTGGCGTTTCTCACAACGCTCTAGCAAGACCGATGGTACAGCACAAGGTGCACTTGCAAAACTCCACACACCTTCTTGGCGGTGGTTCCACGAGGACCCCTTCGTCCGTTCGGGAGTCATTGGGGCACCTTGAAGCGATTTTAGATTGTCCCCACTACCTCGTTGTCATGCATGCTCATCTGTCGAGTTTCATGCGGGTGCTGCGCGTGTCAAGCGTCGTGGCGACGAACGACTCGTTTTGGTCCATGGACTCGATACCGATGGTTTCAAATGACTGTTCGACGCACTGGATGACGAGGACCAGACTTCAACATGTGCCGAGAGAATCGGCTCCCTGGGCACCGCATCGAGCCAGGCGCTTCACCTCGTGCCGTCGTCTGCCTTGCCACCTCGATGGACTGCCTGGAGGCATCATAGTTGGCAGATCTCTCACATCACATTGTCCCTGGTGACGACGACCCATGTCTGTGGTGCCACAGGAAGTCCACGACATTACAAGATTTATTGGGGGGTTTCCTGCTGCTTCTTTGCCTGCTTCATGAGTTTGAGTGTTTCGACCGATGGACGGTCCCACTGCGTCAACTTGAGCGTCTTGTTCACGTAGTATACTTTGCCGTTGTTGCGGCTGACCTTGGCGTCCCACCCGTTCGGCAACGGGGCCTCCGGCAACGAGTCCAAATTGAAACTTTCCTGAGGCACAATGGTAGGTCGGGAAGGTTGCTTGGCGACGGCGGCAGTCGCAGCAGCTGCTACCACACTGCTGGAAAGGCCGGTGAGACTGGACCGGCCGTCCTTTGAGTCGCCGTTCTTCTCGTCCTTTTTGCCACCCATAATATTCTTCACCATCCGGTTCGTCAACGACGAGATGCCGCTGCGACCTTGCGCCATCGCCGAGTTGATGACCGAGGAGCGTGGAGCACTTTCCAAGCTGTCCAAGTCCGTCTTGGTCGTTGAGTCATTGTTCGTGATCGACGATGACGTCTTGAACTCGTAGTAGTCGGCTGGCTTAGTGCCATCAGGGTCGCTGTCACGTTGCAGTTCCGACTTCGTGGGGTCGGCAAGATGTGCCGTGGTGGAGTCACTTCGCCAAAACGTTGGGCGCTTGAATTGGGTAGCTTTCTTGAGCACATCGACGGCTGAGCTCACGGCGGTCGACGTGCTACTGGGGAACATGTCCCTCTCCTCCGTGACAGAGTCCAACATTGGCCCAGCCGATCCGTCCGCCCCAGCAATGACATGAGCCTTGATGTCTTTGTGCGCAGGTTGGCGGAACAATTTGTTGCGAATTCGGCCGGCCACTGCCGGCACTGAGGTCGATGCTCCCAAAGCAGGACCGCCCTTGGCCACTTGTTCCTTGAGCTTGGCGATTTCGGCTGCTTGCGCGTCGACTTTCTTTTGAAGCGACTGAGTCAATTCCTGCTCTTGCTTGAGCTTGACGAAGTTTTGGCTCAACTGAATTTCCGTGTGCGTCTTGAGCTTTTCCAACTCGGACTTGTAAGCGGCGAGTTGCACCTTGAGTTCGTCGTTCTCCTTCTTGAACACCTCGTTCGCATCCTTGAGTGACCCGATCATGTCGCCGGCGTCGGCCATAATCGCTTCGTCCTTGGCTTGCTTCTCTTGCTCCAACATGGCACTGCGCTTTTGCTCTTCCGCCAACCGATTCTGGAGGGCTTGCAACTGGTACTTCATGTCCGCTTCCAACTTCTTTTCCTGCAGGGCGGCCAAGTACTTGGGGCGTTGCAAGTGCATGCGAACAAACGACTGGACACGCACAATGATCTTGCGCTTGCGCTGGTAGTTGCGGCGCTTGGCATACCCAGCCAAATGGCGCTGAATAATGACCGCACAATGGTTGCGCTTGACTTCCAGCGCCACTTTCCGGCCTTGGATGCCACGAATGCGAGCTTGAGCCAGAATGAGACCTTTGACAAACGTGTTGTAACGGTGCATGGCAAGGACACAACGAACGAACGACTAGAGTACACACAAGTAGCGTTAGCGCAAGTCGTGCATGACTTAGTGATGCACTCGCGCGCACCTGAATTTTGACAACGGCTTGCAATGTCCGCAAGTACTTGAGGCGTTGGCAGAAACCACGCATAACCTTTTGCACAAATCGAGCCTTCTTGTCGAGGAATTTCTTTCGGCGATCCTCCAACTCCTCGAGTACCCCCAGTTGAAAGTAGATTTTGGACCACCCCATTTGGTACTGCGTTGGAGACGTGAGTTTCAACTTGTCCATGAGCTGTTGGCACTTTTCTTTTGACGAGCCAGGGCCAGGCGGGACAAATAAGCGGAACTTAGTCAAGAACTCTTCGTGGGTTTGACGGTTGGGGTAAGCAGCACGCGAAATACGAATGGCTTCAATCACACCTGTGTCCGATACACGATGGTCACAACTGTTGCTTCAATGATGGGACGGGATCAAATCGCACCTGCGCAACGCAACTGGGACACCACCATCGCATGTTCCATCGTGTTGGAGCTCTTGATCGAGTTGGGCTTGATGCAGCGGACATATTGCACACTGGTCGCTTGGATCGAATTCATCAATTCAGTCAAGCTGTCCTTGAATTGTGTGCCGACTGTAGACAAGTTCATCATACCACCGCGGCGCTTATTCGCCGGCTCTTCCTTGACTTCTTCAGCCTTTTCTTCAAACAGCTTCTGGATGTACGTGATGTTGGAACTGCGCATCAAGTCGCCCAAGTCGGGCAACAAGTTGTCCTTGTGCTTTTCCAAAAACCCGATCGCTTCGTACTTGACGGGGGCCGCATAATGCTTGATAATGAACTCGGTTTGCGAAGTGCGGGGGAATTCAATCACGCTCGGCTTGTACAGCTCCTTGTTGATCGACATAATGGTCGACATGAAGCCCTTCTCGCTACCTTTGGTCTTTTTCAACTCTTCGTTGAGCAACGAAATAATCCCGATACGGTCCTCAATCACGTTCAGAACGTCTTGATTGTCAGCATACTCGATGTGTTCCCACTGAATTCCTTCTTCGTCGTACTCGATTTGCACAGTCTTAAACACGTCCGACGTAAACTTTTGCTGCAGCTTCTCGTTCGCGTAGTTGATGCAAAATTGCTCAAACGAGTTGTGTTTGAAATGCTCAAACCCGAAAATGTCGAGTACGCCGATGTGGTGGTCCATGCGCTTGTCGTCAGACAACGAAACGTTGATGAGGTCCACCAACCAGTCGAACACACGAGAGTAGATGGCTTTAGACAGGGCGTCCACACAGTCCATGGCCGCTTCCTACGCCATTGAGATGAGCCCTGGCTCAACAGCCGCTGAACGATTACCTTCTTCAACGGGACGCTGTACACATCGTTTCTTGCACGCATGGTGCGCGAGCACAGGGCCTTTTGAAGGGATTCGGGTGTCAATCCCATCAACTGGATTGCATGGGCCGCCGCTTGATCACCTGGCGAAATCATCGACTCTTCGTCGTTTGATGGATTTGAAATAATCGAAATGTTCCCCAGGTGTAAAATCCCTGCCAGCGTCTTGTACAAGTCCATTTGCGACGTGTGATTGAATCCAATGAGCGACAACCGGTCGGCAGTGACTTTGAAATGCTCAAAGTCGGTCTGGCCTTCAATCATGGCGGTGGATTTTTCGCCGATGTACCGGTAGTTGGCCGCCGGGTCCAAGAACAATTCCGTCGCCGTCTCGCCAGAGTCAATCACCTAAGTCAGCATGCATGACGTAAAACTAGAAGAAGCAACCATACCTGGTAAAAAATGTGGTAGTTTCGCTCGGGGTGTTCGTGGCTGATTACACGAGTCTTCTCTAACAGGTACGTCTTACACTTGGCTCCGACCAACGTCCCCACTCGGTCGAATTGGAGCTGTGTGAACTTGCCGAAGCGAGAACTGTTGTCATTGCGAACGGTCTTGGCATTCCCGAAGTACTCGAGCAATGGACTGACTTCGATAATTTTTTTGATCGTGCCGTCGTTCATTCCACCGGCAATAGTGGCCAAATGGTTCATGAGAATCTTGGTCGTTTCGGTCTTCCCGGCCCCGGATTCCCCAGACACCAGGATCGACTGGTTACGCCCAGCAGTCTTCATGTTCTCGTAGGATGCAACCGATGTCGCATACACGTGCGGCGGCAATTCTTCGCGAGGAAAGTTGAGGTACCGAATGTGTTGATGTTCTGCATATAGATCATGCAATCGCTTGTACGGATTGACGGCGATACAGATGTCGCCTGTGTATGTGTAGGGCAATTCCTTCAAGAAACGCGTCTTGACGTTGTACAAAATTGCTGCCTCGTGGAGGTAGTTGAGGGTGATCATGTCTTCAATCCCTTCTTCGCCGACGTTTTCATTTTGGAAAGGAAGGGTATCAACGCTGTCCGTGGATTCGCCTTTGCCGCTCATGAGGGCGCGGGTTCTTTTGTCATCCAAGTTCACCACACGTTCTTCAGTCGACCCGTCGACGAGCCACACCTTGCACTTGATTTCCTTGGTGCCCGGCGTTTGGCCAATGACTTCGGCAGGCAACCACACGTCCTTTTCATCGGGCACGTAGCACTTGGCCCCCGGAACCATTTCGAGAGACATGATCAACTTGTGGTGGTGCTGAGGTCAACGCCGCCGATGTCGGTCCTGCGTTTGCACGTCAGTCGACAAATCAAATTGAAAGTGACGAAGAGAATGGGATGACTGTCCTTTCCAGCCGCCCAATCGGTGCTCGTGGGTCGGGTGGGTGCGATATTTTTCCAAATTAATCAATTTCATTTTCAAATTTATATAATGTAGAAATTAATATTAAAATTGCGGATTCATTGACACCCAAACCGACCAATAGTCGGCGATATCGGGTGGTTAAGTAACCGGCACCCCAGCAGAGGTTGGGCTGAAAATAGCGCATTCAAGACGGCAAGAGGTAGGATATGATACCTTTCGTCGTGCAAATTGAGGTTCCTAGTAATGCGCTCAACATGGAGTCCTGTTGCGCTGGTGTTCCCGGCCACAACCTTCGCCTCAGAACCAAGCCAAAATCGCACGTGCATCACACTTTCTTTGCCGAGAGTCCAACGCGAAGTATGATCTGAAGGTCGCGATGTGGACAACACTCATACCAATGTAGTAGTCGTATGAGGTCAACGCTTAATATATGCATGATATCATGGAGAAGGAACTTCTGTCCGCGGGGGGAGGTTGCGCTTCGAATGCAGGGGAGAGTTTCCTGTTGGATCTTAACTATACAATTGACCAGTACTTTTCTCGAGGAGTACCCAGTGTACCGGTACTTTGAAGGGTCAATGAAAATCAAGATGTCGACGGAATTTGTGTGGATGGAAGGGGGTGACGAGATGCGTATATTCGTGGTGCCAAACTGGCGCTCCCATGACAATGAGTCTTCTTCATCACGATAAATCGTCCGTATTTGCACACAGCAGAGCCACGCCACGGACGCTTGATGGCGCCATCGACCCAATCATCCATCCATCCGATGGCGACATGCGGCAGCCTGCAACATGGCAAGCAAACTTGACAGTCCGGGGAAAACGTACGAAATATACTACGTTCATTATAGATGTCCTCTTCCTCATCATTCATTGGATAAAATTAAATTAAAATAGCCAATCCGGGGGGGCTATTGTGGTACGTGAGTAACCAGGTAGTTTTTGCCTTCGCCAGGCAACAAGCCAGCACTGTGGTCATTACGGAGCAGACGCCGATCCCCCGACGACAGCTCACTTCACCATGCGTGATCAGTATGACTCGTTGGAATCGCCCAAGGCCGGCGTCATGGCAGCAGAAAAGTACGACAAGCTTGTGGGCGAAGTGACCAAGGCGCTCGGCCAACTCAACACGACCGTCCGCGCTGTGGACCAAAAAGTGTCACTGTTTGGAACAAGCCTCGATTCCCAAAGCAGCCACGAAAAGCTTCGTGAGCTGCTAGAAAAGGGTGACAAATTGATTTCAAAGATTGAAAAGCGACTCAAAATGCTTGGTGATGACATGAAGGGTCAGAGCGGCCCGGTCGTCCGGACTCGGTCGACCGCCATCAAGAAGCTCACAGCGGATTTTAAGACACAATCGGACCTTTTCAAACAGTCCAGCCAGAGCGCCAAGTCAGCCAACGTGACTCTTCCGTCGGTGGCAAAGCCATCAGGCATCAACCAGCCCGCACGACCAGCACCTGGTGGGTTCACCAATTTCCACGAAGACCAATTGCTGGCCCAGGCTCAAGTCACGACGTACGACGAAGATGACTTGATGCGACGGGAAGAGGACATCATTCACATCAACCACCAACTGCGCGAGATCAACGCCGCGTACAAGGAAGTGGATGGTTTGATCAACGACCAACACGAAGTTGTGGTGGAAATCGCCGACAATGTTGAAGTCGCCCGCAACGAAACGCACGGCGCCCTTCAGCACGTTCAAAAAGCCGACGCCCGGTCGAAGTATTGCAACTGCAGCAAGCGAAAGCTCATCTGTTATGGGGGCCTTGCCTTCCTCTTCGTCCTCATGGTGCTCGGTGTCATCATCGCGTTAAAGTAGTAAATCGTGACAACGTTGCGCTGCCCACGACCTGGGCTCTCTGTGACCCCACGAATGTAATTATTTTACTCCGCCAAGCGACTTCTCCGTGCATCAACAACCGCAAGGGACACCTGCTGCTGCTGTATTTTCTCGTGGGATGGTGTAGAAACTTGGCAAGAACAATTCGTCGCATTTTCCTGACCAGGCTCCATGTGCCGAGTGGCCAATGGGACCAGCTATGGAAAATCTCATCCCAAATGGGCATCCTTGTTGGTGGGTTGCTTTACCGCAATGCCCATTCAGCATCCAGGCGAAGGGCAATGACCTTCAGACCTACCTCTCCGTGTTGCGCTGATGTCACGAATGCGTTGCGGTTGCAGGTGGCCACTCTCACAGACGACCTCAACACCCTACGTGCCGAGAAGGAAGATCAAGAAGCATTTTACAATCTGCGCATCCACTATCTTGAGCGCGAACTCCAGTCTCTTCGCAACCAGACCACATCTTCGTCCATGGCTCCGCCAACATCATCGAGAAACTGGCTGCGAGCAATCCTAGCTGGATGTGACACACACAGCGCATCACATCCACCGAACGACAAAGTCCCTCCACCTGGGGGCTATCAGAGCGCTTTGCAGCCTGACGAAGTCGAGGAACCGTCGTTTGCCCATGCGCGACCGTCCTCCGAGCATAAGGGGGTGTACCAACGCGTGCTAAGCATATTCCATATTGACCGCCTACGAAATCTTTGGCGGCGGAAACGACGTACGCCCCCCCCCACCACAACAGTCGAGTGGCACGCTCAATTCGGCGACAATGGCAAGGTGTACTTCGTCAAACCCTCCGCCTCCATCAGCCCGCCACACACAGAAACCACGGATCTTCTTGCCGCCGCCACTCCGCAAGCCGAGAAAGACTCCTGTGCTGGGTCGACGCGTCCATCTTTACACAGCATCGACGGCGACTCCTCGTGGGTATAACGGTCGTCCTTGTTGTATTTGGCGCTCCAAATCTCGATGTATCGCTCTGTGAGGAACCACGGGAAGTTCTTCACTAAGCCTAACGACACCGTCGCCATCCAAATGTTTCGTGTTCGGCGGAAGTCGACCAGGGTATTGCCGCTCGCCAACCGACGTGTTCGGATAATATCTGGACAGTCTTGGCCATGAAACCGCTCGGGGAATGCTGGGTGCAGGTCATTGGGATTTTAGGGGGGTTCCCAGCAGGATACGATGCTGCGCATGTTCTCGAAGCGTGAAAGCAACAACTCGATTACGGTCTCGTCCAAGCATCCATCTCGATCTGGCGTGTGCACTGACGAAGAGGACCCGACAACCGAGTTTCCAGCATTGGTGCTGCAGCTCGCTGTTGCCGAAGGTTTGGCACCTCGGAATTCTCCATATCTTATTTTGGGCCTAGAAAAGCTTAAATGCGCGTCAGGTCTTTTGGTCAAGCATTGCAACGCCCTTGCAGGTGGGTTCCACAGGTAGAGAGCCATCTCACGCGTATTACGGTGGGGAGGTAGACCTCCTGCAAACCACCACGGACATTCGCGCTCTCACGTCCAAGCAGTTTCCGTCGCGGGACAATGTACACATGATGTCATGATGATTTGTTGACTATCGATGTCAAGATTGCCTTGGCCCGTGAGCAAACGTCATTCCTCGACAACGTGGCCAAGTTTCGATCCACGGCAATTGCGCCACTGCAGGCTCTCTTGTCGTCGTTTCCACAGCTGAAGGTACAGCGACTACTTGATCCACACACAATCATGTCATGAATGCAGCATCGCATCGACCACCGGAAGAGTGCGCTGGGAACGTGGCGGCGCTACCAAAAGAAAGTCGACGAAATGGCGGTCAAAGGTGACTCCAGTGCCCGCCTACACCGCGTACGACACCACATCCAGTGCATTCAATGGATTCTCACACGACCCCGTGTGTAGAACCGACTGAAATGCATGGCTGCGCAAGAACGCTTCCAGCAGCTGGATAAAGATGTCCAGCGTGAAATGAGGCACGTTTTGTCGCTCGACCTGGGCATGCTCATCGATGCACCCATGCTTCAGGTCCGTTCGTACAAGAACGTCCCGTTCGCTTTCTCACACTTGCGCAGCTTGTAGATGCCCAGCAAGCATGGGCTGCTACGTTGCAAAGCTCAGCCGCCCATTTGCGCAGCATCATCGCATCCGCTCCACCGCCACCACCGTCCCCACCGCGATCCCATCATACCGACCAAGACCCAATTCCGACCAAGCTGTCTCGACGTAGCGCATCGACGTCAGGTTTTGCTTCAGGTTCTGTGCGTTGTGACATGACTTGCGTAGATGAAGACAATAACAAGCAGCTGTCCATCAAGCACCAGCACACGTCCATGGGAGGCGAGGGATCGGACGACCCAGCAGCCCTGATTCCAATCAAACTGCCGCTACGCATGGGTTGCGCTGTCGCCGAGGACGACGTGAATGTTCTGGACAAATGTCGGTCGCTTCGCCCAAAAAAGCCGCACGCTCAAGGAACCCGCTCGTGGCACATGCACCAGCACGCCAAACAATCGCTGGCGCAGGGACTCGATGTCCTTGACGCAGTCAAGCTCCCACCCGGATTCGGCCGCGAGGAATGGATCGCTGTCCATGCGCACGACTTTTTCAACGAAGTGTCCCTCTTGTATGGGACCATCTCGGAGCTGTGCACAGCCACAACGTGTCCCGAAATGACCGCCGGTCCGTGCTACACGTACTTGTGGGCTGACGACCACGGCGGGTCGCCAGTCGCGTGCTCTGCGCCAGCATACGTGGCCAAGCTGATGGCGTGGATCGACGCGCAGCTGAGCGACCCGACTGTGTTCCCGGACAGCGGGTATGAATCGAACAAGGCGTTTGCTGCCATGTCGCGCAACATGTTCAAACGGCTCTTTCGTGTGTATGCGCACATTTACCACAACCACGAGCCCGACTTTGCCACATTGCATGCCGAGAGCCATCTCAAGTGCAGTTTCAAGCGGTTCGTGTCGTTTGTGCTTGAATTTGACCTTGTCGAGGCCAAGGAACTGAATGCGTTGCGGAAACTCATCTGCGACCTTGTGCCAGGAAAGTTGTAATGTCAAACCTCCACGGTCTTAGTTTGCATGCAACAAGGCCGTGAGCTCGGCCACGAGCGCGTCGGCGGTTGGGCGCTCACTTGGAATCAGCCGCCAGCATTCTTCCAAGATTGGAGCGCATTCGCCAGCAAACTCGAGCGTCGGGCGCGTGCCGCATGTGACTTTGTCTACAAATGCATCGCTGGAGAGCCCCACGAACGGGTTGGGATAAGCTGACGGCGTGACCAGCTCCCACAGAAACACACCAAAGCTCCAGATATCGCTTGGGTACGAGTACCTACCATCCATGCGTGGTTAGCACACACCAGGAAGCGATTCCACAACGTGCGTGGGACTCACTCGTGACCCCCAGCCACTTCGGGGGCGATGTAGCCGGACGTGCCAACTTCTTCGCATGGTTTCACCCCAGTGTACACAAATGCACTGCCGAGGTCGCATAACTAGCCCAAGAACTCATGGAACGTTCATGGCGGGCTCGACACACCTTGGCGGTTGGCATGACTCCGTCGCTTCCAACGCCAGACAAGAGGATGTTGTGTGACTGGATTGCACGACGTTAGGAATCGAAAGTCGACGTTCGTCGGGTTGAGGCAAATGCACCTTGATGTCGCGATGGACAATGTTTGCTTGGTGTAAATACGCAAGTGCACACGCGATTTGAAGGGCAATGTATCGTTTCTAAACAGGACGCAAGTCCGTGCTTCGAGTTTCCAGCGCATTTCACCTGCTCGAGACGGATGGATGGCCATAGCCGTGGGTTGTGGCGGCATGCGTGCACGCTGGTTCGTCGAGTGGACAAGATGTGAGAAATCGGATGTAACCTGTGACAACATGCAAGTTCGCACCTGCCGCCATCCATGTACTCTGTCACGAGTGCCAAGCGCGGTTCGAGTACGACTCCAACGAGCTTGACAATGTTGTTGTGGTCGATGGCCATGAGCACGTCAAGTTCGTGCCGAAATGTCGTCACGACGCCATGCGGGGGCACAGATCGTCCTTGCGCTTCGTATCGAAACTCCTTGAGAGCGACGGCATGACCGTCAACCTGGATCTGTTTCACGCAAGCATGGATGCCTTCGCCCACAGGCACTCCTCCACGAAAGTCGTGGGAAGGCCAGAGGTGCACCCTGGTACTGCTGCGAACCGTCGCTTCGATCTGAACCAGCAGTGCCTTGGTTTCTTCCTCCTGCGTCGCTCACGTCAGTCAACCTTGGCATGAAATGTTTGATCGACTTGACCGAATGCATGGCAGGAGCTTTCGCGACGACGACTCGAGACGTTTCCACGTGTTTCAACATGGCTTTCTTCATTCGCAGCTCATCCCCAAACAAGAACTTTGCCGTCGGGGACATGGCAACTTCGACCTTTGGACTGGGGGGGACGATGGCGGGCGGCGTGGGGGTCTCGGGTTGCAGGACAAACATGAGTTTGATCTGGCCGGTGGGCTTTCCTCGGCGGTTCCTGAGCGGGTAGAACCCGCATCCTTGATAGGGGTTGGCCAAAGTACCAAACGACACCGTGGACGACCCCACGACGATGTCTTTGTCACAGCACCTATTGAGCACACGGACATGGAACTCTGACGGACATGGCGACGCTGAAGCAGGTGCCAGCGACAACACCAGCCACCCATTCGACCAGACAGGCGCTGGACCGGCAATTATCGACGGTTTGCAGCGCTTGGCATCGCTCGCTCCGTCGCCACACGCAACTTCGACGAATGGCCGAAGGCTGCGACTGCATAAGTGCGCTTTCCGCATGCGGCAGGGGTCGACGAGGTTGATGGCGTGCAAAGGATGCACTTTCAACGTCCACGTGGCCGACTTGTTGAAATCAAGTCGAGATCGGTGCCGTGCTTCATCCGCTGGGCTCTGCATACTGAAGCCATACACTGCCTCCATGCCTTGGAGCGTAGACAAGTACAGTGGTGGTGCAGAGAGGTGCGATGTCCGGTGGACAACGGCGAGCCTGTGGTTGTGCAGGATGATATGAAGGTTACAGGCATCTTGGGACGGCGTGGGGGACTGTGTCGATGCATCCCACGCAGGACGCTTTGGCGATGGGAGTTTGGAGTCGATGGGCGACATGCCGGCGGAAGATCGAGGCGGTCGAAGCTTCTTTGGACTCTCATGTGTGTGGCGAACCACATCCTGCACGGTGGACGGCGCAATGTACGGACATACGCTACCAACTCTCGCGCTCCATCCCCGAATAAGCTCGAGCACATGGTCTTGCTTGTGCATGGCGTGTATTCGATGGGGGCTGCCTTCGGGATGCATCAAGCTTTCTTTCCGAGGGCGTCGAGAGCCTTGAGTGGAATCCGGAAGGCGAGGTGGCGATGTCGGGGGCGGTAGCAGCGCCTGCATCGTAGGTGAGCCACACATGGACCAGAATCGATGCCCCCCACCTCGCAACGCAATGTTGGCGATGCACGCGCGTGATGGTGAGCCATCCCCCGTGGCAGACACTGGAAGCAAGGCAACGATTGCTCGGCCTGCAGTTACATTTTTTTGAAAAACTGTTTTGCGCCGTGTTATCGTGGAAAAACCATGATGGAGGATGTGGAATCGAGCGCAAGCAAGGGTGACCCAAACGAAGGTAGCGACGTTGCCGTGCTCGAACCGAATCCATTGCTGTCATTACCTGTGGAGTCGAAACTCAATGCGCCTCCACCTTGCGAGTTGCTGCAGACCAGCTCAACCAAGCTGCCACAAGAGACCTCGGAGGTTCCTGACACAAGTCATGTCGTTCCCAGTGGTGCCGAACTTCTAAATGTTCCCGACGTGCCATCTCCGGTTGATGCGACCGCAGCATCAGAGATGAATCAAGTCGAATTGCCCAAGGTAGACCTCATGTCGGTGTCGGCGGCAGTCCCACCCGCCCCAATGATTCCCGACGTCCTCTCCTTGGCCAATGCCGACTTTGTCCGCCCTCCAGATGCTCCTGCCGCAATGTTGCAGCTCCCCACCGCCAACACTGACCATTCGTCCCCAAACGAGCCTGACCCCACGCCAGCGCCGTCGCCATTCCGTTTGATTTTGCAAGATAATGCAGTGTCTGTCCAGGAACAGAGCGTCATGCCGTCATCAAGTTTTGCTTCCAGCGGTCGCAAGTCTGCGAGAGCGGAGCAACTCACGGTGGAAACGTCGACTGCAGTCAGTCCCCGGCAGAAATCGTCTCCGTTGCACGTGGAGGTGCCGTCGTCCCCTCGCCGCAGCTCCAAAACTAGCATGGCCAGCCCCCATCCGCCGCAGTCCCACGACGATGTCGCATCCGACTGGATGGTCTGTCGAACCGACGCCGGCGACACTTATTACTACAACATCCAACGACAGGAATCCCAATGGTCGACCCCCCGGTCCCTCCAACCACTCGACCGCCCGCCCCCTCTTCAAGCGTCCATCGAATTCGAGCCGGACTGCCTCCATGTCGCTGTTTCCAATGGAGACTTTGCTCGCGTCCAAGAACTTCTTGCAGCGGGCGTTGCGGTCGACCGACTAGACGACGACGGCCGAACGCCTCTGTGGTATGCACTGGAGCACTTGGATATCGCCGTCGTGCTACTCAACCAAAGCCACTCGAAGGAGTATATTGTGGCCCAGGACAACTTTGGCACCACGCTGTTGCATGCCGTCACACGGCAGCGCAACATTGAAATGCTCACGTTGTTGCTACTGCAAGTCGAATCGGCCGACGAAGGGTCGTCCGGTCGAATCGATGCATGCGACCGTGTGGATGTCGATGCTCGGGACAGCCACCAACAGACGGCGCTGCATGTGGCCGCGACATTTGGCTTTCGAAAATGCGTTGACATGCTCTTGGCCCACGGAGCGTCCCCGGCAGTGCTGGACGAAAACTCGCACACGCCCATCATGCTGGCGACGCTCGGAGGGCATGTCGGTTGCGTCCAGTTGCTGCAAGTCGCCCTGGCCGCGTTGCTCAAACAAACCGAAGTTGCTGTGCAAGCCATGCCAGTCCAGGAAAGTACGCGAGTCCATCAATTGCAGGAACAAGTGGCCGCGATGACAAGAGCGCTGGAGGCAAGCGCGTACTCTTTGCACTCGATCCATCAACCAGATGTGGGGGTAGGAAATGCAGCGGGCCAACCAACAGCTCCTGGGGGAAGTCGAGCGATGTCGCCGAAGCATGTCGGTGGTACGAGTCCCCTCTCCACTTCCGGCCTGCCTTAAGCCTCGTCGTTGATGTGGACAGCACATGCGCGAGAAAGAAGCACTGGAAACGGCATATCGCATCGCAAATTCGCGACTGGCAATGCTGGAGGCACTGGCGAAACGCACGGCCGAGGACCATCTCCACGCAACGCAATTGTGGCAACAAAAGGTCGGCCATTTGTATTCTGCTTCTAATTGAAAAGTTCAACACAAGTGGCTGCGAACAGGAGGCTGGTTACATTGAAGCCCAGAAGACGAGCATGGACGTGATGAAGAGCCTCCAACATGACGTTGACGCTGTCGTGGCCACCCATTATTCCGTGCAAAACGCTCATGTCAAAGGTCCAAGCACTTCCGTCCTAGCCCAATCGCTCGACGCTTCTGAAGCAATGCCTGGGAAACGCAGCCGCGTCCCGAGTTCGAACGCTGTGACGGAAGACCTCCCGTACGACCACGATTGGCCAGGTCACGACAACGACCTACGTGATGGAACACTGGACGGCCACAGCCAGCTCCACTTGTACCCCGGTGACCCGACCGAAGATTCAGAGCTGAACCAGGGTATGGAGCTAGCTTTTGTAGCTGTGGCGGTCTTTCATGCGTACTTTCGTAGCATCGCCTCTGCGGCGATCCACCGGTCGCGTCGACGCCGTGTGGACGCAATTTTTCATGAATGCTGCTGCAGCAGCCTCTGCGAAAATCGATGGACGTCAACAACTTGCCACTCGTGGACTCATGCAGGCCGTACTGGACGCTGACATTGACGACGTTCAAGCGCGTCTTACGGCTGGCCAGTCGCCCAACCAACGCGACGGGCTCCAGCGCACATCACTGCACCTGGCGTACGCTCGTTCTGTTCTGCATTTGTGTGACGAGGGACGACAGGGCCGATCGAGGGGATACCGCGATGCTGGCGTTGCTGTGCGACTTTATGGGCGACATCGAAGCCCGCGATGCCAAAGGTAGCCCGCCGCCTGGATGTGTCGATTTGGAGCTTTCGTAACTTGTGTCGACAGGCAACACACCTCTGCACATTGCTTGCTTTCGCGGCCACGTGGGATGTGTTAAATTCTTGCTGGAATCAGCCTCGGACGTCCACGTCGCCAATCAAGACGGCGAATCCGTCGTCCATGCAGCTGCAAGCGGAGGCAATCTACCCTGCCTTCGATTCGTGCTCGAGGTAACTCTGTGCTGTGAAAATGAACTCATGGCTGTGAACAGTACGGAGCATCACCATTCGATCGCAACAAGAATGGCGACACTGCGTACGACATTCTACTCGAACGCGACGGCCCCGTCGCCCACTTGCTGGATTGCCTTCAAGAAGCCATGGCCCCGAAACATCCCAAGGCGTTGCGGGGCACGTCTGTTCCAGTATGACCTTGAACTATGCCCCTCTCGGTCGACAAAATCGCGCTGAATCCTTGTTGGAATGCGTACACGCAGGAAGCCCAGTTTACGAAGGTGCAGGACGACGTGGACGAGTTTGTAAGCCCACCTTCGAGTCCACTGCCGCAGTCGCCACCGCATGAAGTACACATCTACGACCGTGAGAACGACGCAGACGACGAAGAAGGCTCGGACCTAGCGATGCGTGGCCAGATGCGTGGCCATGAGCAGCAGCGAGGGATGCAGTCCGATGGATGGGGTGGGGTACGGCCTATCAATCACCATGAGAATACAAGTCTTGAAGCTTTTCATCCTAGTGGATTCGCGGCACGGCGTCGTCTATGTTTGGTCTCGCTCGGGTTCAACCCGATCGACATGCTGGTGTGGTCGTTGACGGCAAAACAGGGCTGTCGTCGCCACTGAAACCTCCAACCGATGCAGAAGTCCTCACGACGACCAAATACCATGAGCTCGTTCCACCTGCTCATGTCTCCGAAGCCATGCAGCACGCGCAGGTACCGAACGGCACATATGATATGATGCCGCTAAATTCGTCCTCTACCAAGTCGTCGCAGTTTGCGACGACTCCAGCACCCACGACGCTCGAGCTACCACAGGACATTGTCCAGGCCATGAAGGCCAACAAGGCTGCCCCAAATCGGTACGCCATGGCTGTTGGGCACCCCAGGGCCATGCAGCGCAGCACATCCCGCTACGTCGACACGTACTATCCGCAGCTCCATGCCAATTGATGCGACAATTGATTCCACCAATCAGCACGTGCCGGGCACTTGAAGTTCTTGAACAAGGCAAGTACGCTTTCTATTTTATGACTAGATTTTTGTATACAATAGTATAAAACGAACCATTCGAGTGGGTTCTGAACGTTTCTACTTTTATTCCGGCCGCCGCCGCCGCCGGCTCTGAGGGCCGCCGATCCGCTGCTCCGTATCCCCACCACTGAGAGAATCATCATGATGCAAGCAGACGACATCACATATGGGGAAGGGATTGACCTGGAATCCCAGCCACTGGTACGATACTTCGTGTGACGACGGGTCGGCTTGACCTGTTATGCGAAAGATTGACGCAAACGTTCCTACTACGTGTATGCTCACCCTGCGGGTCAAAACGCTGAGCGAGAAGCCGTTGAACATCGATATCAATGCCACGGCCACCGTGGGCGACCTGAAAGACATGATCAAGACAAAAGGACATGCGGAAGGCAAATTCCTGAGGTTAATCCATCAGGTTGAGGTTACATGTCGTTGATAAAGGCATCATGATTGTGTGGGTGCAGGGGAAATTGCTCAACGACGACAAAGCCGTGCTGTTGTCTTCTAACGTGAAGAATAACGACTTTATACACTGCGCCATGAGCAGCGTCCCGCCCAAGTCCCTTGTTCAACAGGTGAGGTATCCTTGCCCCCCTTCCTCATGGTTTCTCAATAGATGACACATCAACAAGATGATGTTGCGTCCGACGAGCCAAACCATCGCCGCGGATTTGATTGTCTACGCGATACTCTGACCCGCGAAGAGGTGCAAGCATTACGCCTGCATTTCTATCCACAGGTGTCAGCCATGATTAGTCAGTCCGTTGCGCGGGAAGGTATGTGGCACTCGTTTCTCAAGCTCGTGTGGTATTTGCTCACGAAAGCGCAGGCGAGTCTGTTGAAGATCGTATTTATCGAGTAGAAGAAGAGTGGATGGCAGCGCAAGGGCCGCAATCCGAATTCGGTAAGCCGCTGTTGCATGTGGATTCACATGAACATTGTGATGGTAGCATTGAATGTTCGTCCTCGTGGGGGCCACATTACGATGGAGTCTTTCCACGACTCAATCCATCGCATCGATATGCCTGACATGCCGCTGATCGACAACGAAGGCACGACGGTCGACATGATCTGGGGCGTGGCCATGGGCCTTATCCTCGGGTTCTTTATGCTCTTCTTGGTACGTGCGCCTACGTTCCCTCACCTGAAGGAACTCACGGGGGTGTAGCTGTGGGAGCGGTCAATTCCGCGTCGACAAAAGCTAGGCATTGTCGTCGGTGTCGCCATCAACCTCCTGCTCAACTTCATGCAACGCCTGACCCCTGAAGGAAGTTAGTCTGCCGGTAATAGGACATAGTTATATATAACTGCGCCAGCACTCATGCAGCGAACAGGCTCTCATGACCGTGGCCATCGTGGAAACTCAATGGCACCTCTGCAAGTCGGACACTGCTATCATTCCATCAACCACACATGCCACCGATAAAAACATCGATGCAGACTCCCGTAGTTGTCGGACATCAGTCCGTCGCCTTTGGGTAGACTGCACGTCCCGTGTGGCACGAGCATCTCTGGACCACAGCGTAGTAGGTGATACTCTCAACGGTGCTCTCCTTAAGGATGCATTCGATGCACATTACCAGCCTCTTCACCTACGTCCTTCTGCGGCCCCATCATAAGCTACGAGACGTCACCCGCTACGATTGTCAGAGCTTCGACTCGACAGTCGCCATCAACTCCTGCTCGACATGTTCAAAATTGCTTTGTTGTGTAACCGGAATTGTATCTGGTGTTTTGTATGCACATAGAAATAGTAGTATAAATGCACCATTCGTCCGGATACCGTCCCCTCTGGCTGCCTCCGCCACTCTTACGACCAAGTCCGACCGCCGAGACCATGGTGTTTGCTGGAGCCGCCAAGTTTGTCCGCTACTACTTCGACAGAGAGCCTGTGGTGGTGCTGTCCACAGTGCTGGGCGCCGTGGGCGTCCTGTCGCCTCTGGTCATTGTGCCTATTCGCCGCAACCTCGGATACCCCACTGACCAGTACGACGGCCCGATCATCCCAGAGTCATTCAAGCCCAAGCAAAACTAAAGTTTCCCTGCTGATGATGCTCCACCGGTCAAGGCGATACAGCGACAACGTGCTGTTGCTAGAATGCGTGTGCATACGATGTGTCTGAGCAACTAACTAGAGCAACGTTTGAATTCAATTGTGTCATAACGTCGCCAATGGTACAGATTCCATCGACACTTGGGCGTACCCCTGGTCCATTTCGCCAAACAGGCGCTCGTACGCGGTCCAGAATTCCGTCGCAGACTGCATCTCGGTGCGGCCAAATCGCGACGCAACCAAACGGCGTCGCTCGGGGCTGTCGGGAAGGTTGCACATGGCGAGGCATATCCGATGGGCTTCCATCTTTATTCGTCGGACAGACGTCGCGTCTTCTTCACTCACATACGGTGCCATGTGCGTACGGATTGCGTCTCGCACTCGTTCGTTTAATGGGCACACCTTGACACAGAATTCGAGGAGGCGGAAGAGGTGGCTTCCCGTGAGCAACTCGAGCGCCCGCGCCAATCCCGACAACTGACCCACCCCGGGGGATTTCGCCAGCTTTTCGAGCAACTGACCAGCCTCTAGTGTCGCATTCTCCGCGGCGTCCAAGCAACTGGAACCGTTCACATGCGGTGAGTTAGCCTGCATGTCTGCGTGGTTGAGGTACCTCCACAAAAGCAGCACCACCGCGTGGCCATACTGGTCGTTGGCGTAGTAAGTCAAGAGTCGAGTGGCGATTTCAGCCTTTTCCAAGTATGTGGCGACGGGCAGCACAGTTGGGAGCGCCATGCGAAGGTGGTCTGTCGTGCTATGTTCACGAAGGAGGACATGGAGGAGGTCGCTGGCCTGCAGGCATGGCCATCAGTCGTCGTTCACAGTTGTTTGGCATACCGGCGTCACGTGGTCGTCGTTTGCAGCATTGAGACAGCGCCACGCTAGGAGCTTCTCAAACCCCTGCAGTTCCTCGTTGATCTCGTCGCGCAACGAGTGGATTTCGACCTTCTTCGCATGGTTGTTCATGGCTACGACCACCATGAGCGACAGTTGCGAGGGGGACACCAGACCGGTCGCAAACTCATTGAATTTGGCTTCTACTTGGCGTAGCGCCGCTTTGCCGAGACGATGCGTCAGGCACACGTTGAACACTTCAAACATCGGGTCCGGGTCCCATCCCCACACTATGCATGCATACAGTTGTGAATCGTCGGCGCGGTGATGACGAAAGACCTTTCACGGCCTCTTGGAGCTTTTCCATGCCCCAACACACAAGCTCATCGACCGAGAACTGCGCCAGCCGGCACCCTTCTTCGTACCGAGCCTCCATGTCCTTGTTCCACTCGTCACGGCACTTTTCAAACGCCATCGGGCGGAGCACGGCCACTCGAAAGTGATACGCAATCAAGTGCGCCGACTGTCGGCCACTGGTAATGGCAGCTTCCCGTCGAGTAAGTACGTTGGCCAAATTGGCGGTGTGCAGCGGCGGCGTCGACTTGAGCAACCAACGAGATACCCCTTGCGCTACGTGCACTGCTGACGGAGGCGAAGCCAGTGGGTTTGCGCGATGCGAGCGCAGCGGCTGACCAAATGTGTCGCTTTTCAAGCCACGCAGCACTGCCACAAGCGCCGTCTGCACAGAGGCCACCGACACGACCTCCGTCGACGAGTGATGGCAGCCATAGGCATGCTGAAACGCATCAGCCACGAGGGAGCCGAGGTTTGATGGGCATCCCACGACCATGCCGTGCTGGTTGAGGAGGGACACCACGTCGTCGACAGGAAGCATCGTGACGGCTGTCGTGACGGGTTTGTGGAACAGGAACGCTCCAGTGACGACCCCCATGAGAAATGTGACTCGCCGGGCCTCGATCGCCGCAGTGCGTTGCGCCAGGCGGGTGGTCGGGTTATCCCACTTGGACTGGGCGACCAACGTGGAGCGGAAGCCAAAGTACAGATACCGCTCGCGCTCGAGCTTTCGCTCGATGTATCGCTTCCGAGCCGAGATGCCGCGCTGCAGCGTTTGAATCAACTTGGCCTGCACTGGATGACGTTAGATCTAGCGAAAGAAGAATGGTCGTGGACGCACAGCTGAATTGCGCACGCGTTGGTGCAAAGTATACTTGCGCCGCTCGATGCACATTCGAAATGCCGATTGTATGCGGGTCGCGATGATGTCGTTGTAACCACCGCTCGCTTTCGCGACATGGAGTTCGACGCGGCACTCGTAATGGAGAAACTGGACCAGCATGTCGTCCAGGATGAGGAGGATCGCTCGGCGCTAACGAAAGCACGTTTATCGGGGGAAATGGAATGCTGATTGCACTTGCCTCGTGTTCCTTGGCCTGGTACGACGCCAGCACGACATTGGTGGCTCCTGGTCGCCGACTAAACGACTTGACATATGTGCGGGAGTACAAAAGCGCGGCTTCTTGCTTCTGGATCCACAAGACTGTATTCGCCATCACGATTTCTGCCATCGACTTCGCGATTCGACACACGTCATTGAGCTCGTCCGAGGCAAACCCAGAGTCTGCGGCCGACATGGCAGACGGTGGAGGCACCACTGCTTCTGTTGACAATTCCTCGGAGGAAATGGACGGAGCGTCGACTGCGGCCTCGGGAACGAATGGCGGTGGGCTGCTCTGGTGTCGCTGGAGCGCAAGCTCGACGAGGGCATGCATGTCATGTAGAAACATTGCACACCACGCCTTTTGAAGCGTTAGCTGAGCTACGTGGTCGGACGCCACGTGCATGTTGTCCATGCGAAGGATAACCCGCGCCAGTTCGTGTTCGTTTACGTGGATGTGGAGGGGCATCGCGGGGAGGTTCAATTCAGACGAGGCCGGGTCGGGACTCACTCGAAGACTGAGACCGTTCTGCACAGCCACCGCTTGGACACGAACAGCATGAGGCGATACGTCGGGCGCGACATCTTGTTGCATCGACAGGACGACATGACGAGAAGGCGGGGGCAGCAGCACGACTTGATTGTGCTCGACACCGACATGCGACGCCAACGTCGTGGTCCACATGGGCGAGTACACTTCGAGTTCTTCGTCGGCGAAGTAAACGGCCGCGTCGGGCGCTGAAAGCGTCAGCCCTTTGGGCTCAAATGGTATGGTGCCTGTGGCATGTGCAGCCAACAGAATCGTCGAGATTTTCTCGGACACTGCGATTGTGACGTCGCCCGATGACAGGAGGTGGATCGAAATGGTGCAGTCGACATCGACACCCGCATCGTTCTGGATCATGCGCGGCAACGCGAGAAGGAGCTTCTGAAGGGGCCTTCGAAACGACGCGATCGACGTTGACGACGGAAGCGACGCCCGCTTGGTCATGGTCAGAACCTTCTCCGGCACCATGAAGATCATGTGGCTGTGGTCTTGAGTATTCTCGACGCTGCGGGGCAGTTCCCGGTCGCTGCGGCGGCGATTCAAGATGCGCTCTTCTGCCGGGTCGGCAAAGGACGCAGCAGATTTTTGCCCTTTGAGCTTGGTGGCTGGTGGAGACGCGAACGAGGTCAGGGAAGTTGTGCCTCGAAGGGATGTGGAGGAGGGCGAGGCGGACGTAAAGGTAGTGTCGACTGGGGGGGAGTTGAGGCGGGTTTGGTTCGGTGGGGTTGGAGAGACTGCCAAAGGCGCCACCACCGCGGCAGGACTCGCCTGCACCTCGTCCTCTTCCAGTGGAAGCAACACCCGGGCATGGAAGATGTCGTGGCTTTGATGCAACACCTGGTCTTGCGTAGGCATCGAGTCGTCGATTTCATCTTCGTCTAGCATCCGCTGCTCCAAGATCTGACGCGCAACTTCTGCTTGCAACTCTTTGCGCTCTTCAAAGATGGGGCGGATGATCACGCGGTGCGCCAAGTGGGCTGCTTTCGATCCAAGGGCCATGGCAACTTTGTCCACGGGGCGCAGGGGACTTCGTGGTTTCGACGGCGACCGAACGATGTCGGACGGTGCCAAGTTTGGAACTTCGTCGAGGGGCACGTGGTGCCGCGTCTGCTTCACCGACAACACGGGCTCGTACAGCGTGATGGATGGCAGCTCCAGCTTGATGCATTTCTTCTTGGGTCGCTTCGGCTGGAGCATCGCCGCGAAACCGTTTCAGGACGTGAGGGTTTCAAAGTCATTCTACGACAGGGTGGCTGTTGATGCTGCCTTGTGCGAAATGTCTGCTTTAGGTTGCTGCCCGGCGCCAAGCACGAACGGGATCCGAGTCATGCACGGGGTTGTGTTGGGGTGATTTGACGATTGACGAAATCTTGGGATCATATTGTGTGTGCTGTGGAGCCTAGATCGTAGCTCTGTCGCGACAGTCGCAACGATCGTGCAGCTGACCTGTGCCATCTATCCTTGTTGGCGATGTTGGCGATGCCCCTTGAAGGGCATCCAACCCATCCACGTCAACCAAGAGCACTTTCATTCAAAAATGCACGAGATTTCTCGCAAAGCTACAAAAATAATCTAGAGAACAGGGAGAGGGACTTGGTAGTGGTGCAGAAGCAACCATCACCTGAATCACGCCCCAGAGAGCGGGGGAGAGCGGCGTAAGGCCGACCCTCCCGCTTAGTGCTGTCCTTGAAAGTTAAACATCGTACCGCTGCCCGTGCCAAACGTAAACTGTTGCGCCGCGGGGTCTTCCGTCGGCAACAAGTCGTTCTCTTCTTCGTCTTCTCCGCCAAAGTAGGTTTCAATGATCGCGAGCGATTTTCGGTACACCTCTGCAAACCACGATGACATGTCAGCGCTACATCGTTGCCCACCAGATCAGCTCTCACCCAACGCTTCGTGGTACTGCAACTGCTGAATCTTGTTCACGCCGTCGTATTCTTCCACGATGAGTGCCATCTTGTTCTCATCCGAGAGCTGTTCCTCTTGTTCTTCAGAGCCCATGCGTAAAATGTTCTCCAGTGCATCCAAGCACACGCAAATAATCTTGGAATCCGTCGATTCAAGCAGGGCCACAAGCGGGGGAATGCAGCCTGACATGAATTCGTTAGTGAAGTGCCTTGATGGGGATCACATATCCAACAACGAACCTTGTTGGACCATATAGTGGAGTTGCTCTCGCGTCCCCCCCGACGAAGCGTTCGAGATGGCCCACGCCGCTTCCTTGCGCACTTCGAACTCGCCCGTGGCCAGCAATTGGATCAAAGGGGGCAAAATGTTGGCGTTGATAACAGCCTGGATTTGATCGGCGCTGCCAGCCGTGATGTTGCTCACCGTCCAGCACGCTTCCTTCCGGATGCCCTTCTTCGGGCTCTGCAACAGCGGCAACAACCGGTTCAACGCGCCTTCGTTGATCACAAACTGGGTCTGGAGGTCGTCGCCAGTCACAATGTTGCCGATGGTGCGCAAGGCGGGCGTTTGCACCGACGAGTTTGTGTGCAAGAGCAGTTCGATCAGGCGCGGGACCACGCCTGCTTCAATCACGGCTTGAATCTTTTCGTTGGGGCCGTCCGAAAGGTACGAGAGCGCCCAACACGCATCCGTCAGCACATCTTGGTCTTGCGAGAAGATCAACCGCGCCAATGTGGACAAAGCCGGGCGCACCAAGTCGAAGCGCGGTTGCGGCTTGCCACGGCAAAAGTTGCTCAAGGTCCAGGTCGCATTGCGCAACATGCTAGGACTTGCACGTTCCGAGAGCTGATGCAACAAAGGAAGCACCGCACCAGCTTCAAGCACGAGGTCGCGGCACGCAGGGGAGTCACCCGAGATGTTACCCAAAGCCCACACCGCTTGTTCACGGACTTCGTCGTTTGGAGACATGAGCAAATACACGAAAAGCGGGACAGCACCATTCTGAATCACGATGCGAGTGTGGTCCGACGTGCCCGACGCAATGTTCGTCAAAGCCCAAGCGGCTTCAAATTGAAGCTTGGGGAGGTTCTCCGCTTTCAAGAACGCTGTGAAGATTGGCACGACGTTGAGGTTAATCACTTCTTGGATGGGGGGGTTGTTTTCTAGGAAGTCTGGTAAGCCAATTGTTGTGAAGATCAGCACCACATACCAATCGAAAGAAGCTTGCGGAACTTGGTGACTGCCGACAGCTGAACATCGATGTCTTGCGAGTTCAATTCTTCCACCATTTCAGGCAGTTGGGATAGCTATAAAAGAGAGTAAACTTTAGAGAGCATGTGGGGGTCACATACGTAAGCCTGGGCACTGGTGCTGGCGGATGCGCTTTCTGATGACGGGAACGGCGAGTCGCTGACCATGCCTTCAAAGTCGCCAGGGGCAGAACCCCCAACCATGCGACGGCGCCGGTTCACTTGCTCATCCTTCTTCGTCTTACGGATGTTGAGCGTGAGTTCTTCACGGCGGCGACGATTCTCGTCGGCATCAATACCCTTCTTGAAGTTCTTGTGGCGATCGTCGGGGCGTTGCATGGTGAGAGCGTGCTGTGGAAATGGCGTTGTGATGGAGTCCAGTCAGTTGTCCTCATTAGCCGTGCCCCGGGGTACGCAAGAACACCCTTTATCGTTGAGTTTTACCCATCCAAAGATCTCGGCCTGGTTCAATGGAAACCTGTGGTCGTCCATACAAATATCAAGTTCGGTTGTTTATCTGACGGATTCGGGTGGGTGCATTTGTGGGTTTGTCCCAAACCTATCCTGGCGGGAGACCATCACTCCGACATACACCTACATTCCAAATTCGGAGTTTCGCGAAAGTGAAAGCTTCGACCGTAAGTACAACGCGAAGGCGAGGACATCGCTTGGAGAGGTTGGTGGATTGCGTCGGAATGGGCGCGGGCAACAGGGGAAGCAGTTCGAGTCGACAATGCAAGTTTGATGCCTAATGTCGTTAAGGTTTCTCAAGGGTGCCAGCTAGGCCGCCAAATTACGACTTGCATGCAAATGAGCTCTATTATCAATCTATTTGTCTTAATCGGACACGAGTTTGTGCGTGTTGTGGGGAATCTCGTACGCCTTCCACTCTTCCTTTTGCCGATGGGCCACCATGTGGTGGTCGAGCACTTCCTCCATCAACTCCTTGGTGAACTCCGAGTTGGCATTCCCGTACGCGGCGGCCTGGAAAGCAATCACGAGCTTGGAGATTTCACGCCCCGAGAATCCGTCGATGCGTTCGGCGACAGCGACCAAGTCCGCGGTCTCGATGTCCTTGACGATGATCTTCTTGGCCTTCGAGTTCGACTGCAACAAGTACTTGTCCACGTATTGCTGCAGCATGCGCACGCGTTCGTCCAACCCGGGGAGCATAAACTCGACCATTTCGTCAATGCGATCGTTGATGGCCCAGTCGAATTGTTCCGGTTGGTTGGACGCAAACACGATCATAAACTTGTCGCTGGCTTCGCCCGTGCGGTACAGGAACGCGTTCAAAGCATTGCGCATGTCTTCACTCATGACTACCCACACAACCCATCAGCATCCCACTTGGTCCGCAATTTGGAGAGACGCTACCAGCGTTGCTACGCTTTTGGAGAAACGCATCGGCTTCATCGACAAACATGAGCAACCCGCGGTTGCTGTGGGATGCCCAGTCAAACAGTTTGTGGATTTCTGTCACGCCTTCACGGCCGAGCGGAGCGACGTCACCGCCGGTCAAGATGGCGTACTCCAAGCCCGAGTGACGGGCCAAGGCCTTTGCAAACAGTGTCTTACCAGTACCGGGAGGACCTACAACGATGCCATTCATTCAGACGCGACAAGTCGCCAAGGTACCGTGCAGCAACAAGTGACGGAACGGCGCGCGGTTCTTCTTCGTGTTGAACGTGGACAACGCGACGCTGCGCAGACGTTCGTCGAGCTTGGGCTCCAGAACGACACCAGCGAGGGCGTCCGTGGGCGTTCCGAGGCGGAGGACGCGCTTGATGGAAGGAATGGGGTTGGCTAGCACTTGCACAATCGAGCGCCGCGACGTTTCACGCACCAACGACGGCTTGCCGAGTCGTGCTTCGATGTAACGACCAGTTACTCCCGTCGACACCTTGGCGGTGTACACCCCAAGCGCCAACACCGATAGAGACACCACTGTCGCCGTCAACTTTTCCGAGTCGCCGAGGAACGCCATGACACCAGTTCCGATTGTGTTTGTGGCCAACTTGATGCCTTCCATGACGGTCTCGCGGTATTCCTTGGCGCGCACGCGGGCCTCCTCCAGATGCAAGTCGTGGTTCAGGCGTTCTTGCTTGATGCGGCCTTCGACTTCTGCCGCGACCTTGGCCATTTCTGTCTTGGTACGCAATTCGGCTTCGTAGTCCAATGTCTTGCGGCGCGACGCTTCTTGGCGTGCAAGCATTTCTTCTTGTTTCTTGAGCTCTTGTTCCTTGAAAAGTTTTTGGGCAGCTTGCTGGTCGGCCCATTGCTTACGCTTCAACTGATCTTGGTACTGCGCGCGGCGCTGGTTGTGCTCCGTCTGGGCTTCCATGTTCTTGCGGTTTTCTTCGCCTTCCTTTTGAATGCGTTGCACTTCATATGCTTTGTACAGCGCTTCGTTCTCCTTGATTTTGGATTGGTGTTCTAACTGCTTGGTCTTTTCGGTCTCCTTCGCCATTTGGAAAGCTTCCTTGGCATACTTGGCCTTTTCCAAGTCACGGGCCGCCTTGGCAGCTCGTTCAAGACCCGTGGGGTCGAAGGAATAGCCACCTTGGTTTCCTCCAGACGATGCAGGCGCAGGTGCGGCAGCAGGGGCCGCGGCGGCAGGGGTGCCTTCAGGTGCAGGTTTGCCGAAGCCAAACATATCGAATCAGGGAAGGGCTTCAAAACCAACAATAATTGCCTTGGGATGCCGCATCTCTGTAGGCCAATTTAGCGTATACGTTGAATACGTTATACTCCCTTGGAAGATGTTTAAACGTGACCCATGCAGAAAAACGTGCGGCGGTCACTTCTCCATGACATGACAACCAAGGGATGCTTCCGGAATCGACATGGGATCACCAGCGAAGGTGTATCCAAGCCCTCAGCACTGAGTGCCCCGACGTGTGGTATGGGCTACAGTAGACGCCGAAGGACATGGACTGGTGTGACAGCCTTGTTCATTCAAGGACGAGCACAAACCACCCTGAGTTTACTTGTGACCAACGTTAGTGTATTCGCACAAGGCAAAAGAATGCAGGTGTTGGTGCCAACTTCCTCTGTCCTGACTTGATGAATCCTCTGTGCGTATACCCAACGGACAGCTTGTTTGGTCGTCGTGCACATCAGAGCAAACGATGGCACAACATTAAGAAGACGTCGTGATCAAGAACCCACACCCCAACATTATGGTTCTTACAATATCTGGAGACATTGTGATAGAATCCACTCCATCGAGAGGCCCTCACCCTGATAGATCTACCGAGTTGCACGATGAAGTCGACATAGGCGACTCTCAACCTATTCTTCGACGTTTTCCGTGCCCAACCCCTTGTAGGTCGACACTTGGACATGTTGGACGAGGGTGTACAACTTTTCCTTGGCATCTTCGTCTTCGTTACGCTTGCGCGAGAGACGGACACGGACGCGGTAAGGAATGTTGCGCACACCTTGGGACCAGACGAACTTGTTCAACTTGGAGTCGATACGAACGTCAGTGGTGCCCATGGCCTTTTGGGCGAACTTCTTGATTTCGCGGACAGCCTTGGCAGCCTTCTTCTTGAAGGTACTAAAGCAAGGTTAAGGAAGTCTCCAAGGTGGGAGCTACAGATGATGATCTGAAGAAACATGCACGTATATATCGTCAAAAAGGATACGCTCCATGCAGACGCTTGTGGAGGTTGATCGTGTAGTCGCGGGACACGACATCGGCCACCGTCGAGGTCTTGGTCTTCTTCGTCGATTCTTTGGCCATTTTGCTTGAGCTCAGTAGGGTCAGATAAGGAGTAAAGCCGACGCTACCCACGTCGCGGTTGGCCACGACGCCGTCCAAACTCAAAGCCAGTCGTTTTGCTTCCCGACCCCTATGCATTTTGACCAATCCAATGCACATATTACACCAATTACTGTATCCGGATATCCGGATAGATCGCTCTAGGAGCATACAAGGGCAACATGGTCATGACCTTTACTTCGTCTTGCCTCGGTCACAATTGCGCAGGTGACATCTATGCATCGCTCTTGGCTACGCTAATGTGGTACTCGCTCAATTGGTCGGCGGTCACGGGACCTGGCGAGCCAGTCATGAGCTCGTTACCCGTGGTGGACTTGGGGAATGCAATCACATCGCGCAAGCTACGGCAGTCGTTTTAGCGCCGACCAGGGAGCACGAACAGCCGCGAGAATATACCTTGGAGCTCCGCATAAGATAGCGATGAGTCGATCCAATCCCAACGCTATTCCACCGTGGGGAGGGGCGCCGTGGCCCAGCGCATGGAGCAAATGTTCAAAGCTCTTCTTCTGCAACATCGAACGGAGTGAAGTGGTCATATTTTCGAAGTAGAGTTGGTCGTACTTGGATTTCAGGCAAGTTGAGCACTTGTTGGAGCACTGACTGCTGCAGCTCCATCGAGTGTAAACGAATCGACCCACCTCCAAGCTCCCATCCGTTGCATACAAGATCCATGTGCTGCGCTTTTATCTTCAACAATTCGTTTTGCATGGCCGGTTCTTCCCACGCATTCTTCCCAGTGGCCAAAAGGGCTCGCAACTTGGGGAGGTCTTCCTCGCACGGGGCCGTGAACGGGTGATGCGTCGCCGACAACCCTACCGGGAAACAAATCAACCTGTCGACCTGTCGTACCACTTCTTTACCAATGCCATCGTTGTCCATTTCAAACATGGGAAAGTCCACAACCCACAAGTGGTTGTAGTTGAACGGGTTCAGCTCTTCTTGCAAGTGTCCCTTGGCATAGAGAAGCTGCGAAGCTTGCAAGCGCATGCGACCCAACAGAGTGCACGTAGACGCATACGAACCACCCGCGAGCAACAATACATCATCGTCTTCGACACCCAATAGTCCGTTCACTTGATTCAGCTGCTCGGGGGACAGTTTCTTGGCCAGCGACGATTTCCACGTTTTGTTGTCCTAGACACGGACCTGGCGTCATGAAGTGTTCCAGGAACGAACGCCAAAAAACCTCTATCTTGACCGCGTACACGCCACGACCATCCACCGACAGTCGCTTCGAGAGGGCTTCCAGTTCCGAAATATCTTTGCGAGAAAACCCGCCCTTGGCCAGTTGCTTGACGTTGATGGCGCGAACCACGTCCGTTGAGTTGGTCGAGCCAAAGAGGTTGGCAGGAAGAATGCTGGACAAGTCCTTCATTTCAATACCAAAGCGCGTGTCGGGTTTGTCGACCCCGAATCGATCCATCGCTTCGGCGTAGCTCATGATGGGAAACGCATCGTCCAACGACACATTCGCACACATCCAAATGGCTTTCACCATTCCCTACAGATCTCTCCCATCAACACGGCGAGGTCGGAGACAGATCGTACCTCGATCACGTCCATAATGTCTTTTTGAGTCACAAACGACATTTCCAAATCGATCTGCGTGAATTCCGGCTGGCGATCGGCACGACCTCCTTCGTCACGGTAGCATCGCGCCAATTGAAAGTACCGGTCCAACCCGCCCACCATGAGCAACTAAACGCGGATGCAGTGAGGCCTGGCTTGCGTTATGGGTCAAGCTGTACTTGTTTATACTGTTGGGGGCTTTGAGTGAGGGCGTAAAATTGGTTCTTGTTGCGAGTTGGCACCAGAAACTCCCGGGCGCCTTCCGGAGTGCTCTTGAACAGTGTCGGCGTTTCAATTTCAAGAAAGCCGTGGTCACACAAGTAGTTTCGCGCTGCAAGAACGTGAGAGTATTGTTCATGGATCCATTGGAGGAGCACCCGTCATCGATACGTTCGACCGCAGCACGAGGTTTCGCTGCAACGCCGGGCGACGCAAGTCCAGGTATCGATGGCGCAGCCGCGTCTCTTCGTTGGCCACTTCCGAACCAGAGGATACCTTGTTCAATGTGAGCATTCAACCGCATCCACGTATTGTCTTCCCTACCTGCAATGGCAGCGGAGCAGTTTGATTGAGTGTGTCGACAGAGTCCACAACCACTTCCACTGCACCAGTATCCATGTTCGCGTTGATCATATCACTGGGGCGGCCACGAACCTGCTTCTTATTAGCTCGTGTCAAGTGAGACTGAAATGTACCTGGCCTGTGACACGGATCACAGTTTCTGGCTTGAGCAAATTGGCGCTGGCGACGTGGTTGTCCTTGCCGAACACCAGCTGTGTCGTGCCATGACGATCACGAAGCGATACAAACGTCATTGGGCCAAAAGACCGAACCGCATCCACCCACCCAGACAGTTTGATCGTTTTTCCTACGTCGACATCACGCAGCTCACCGCAAGTATGTGATCGAAACGCATGCGTCGACAACACACGACTGGGGTGGTGAATGCCACCATGAAGCAAGATGTTCCTAGAATGCGCTGGAATGTACATATGAGCGTCCCTTCCATCCTCACTTCGAAGCTTTACCAACGACTCGCGCAGACAACCGGTGCATCATTTGAACGGTGCGAAGCAATGACCATGCGTCCAAAAAAGCGCCACATCAAACCCTTGAAATACTGTACGTCCGTAAATAGAGTATGCACCTTAAACAGTGTGTCCTCTGAATTAGTAATACTAACTATACTACTAGATGTGAAGTGGCACATCTGTAAATAGTGTTATGTTGTCCTTTCTGTCATGAATTAATGTGGCGCTTTTGCTTACAACCGCACGAATCTTCTGAGAGGATCGGCTGGTACCCCGGGTTTCAACTGTTCGTACATTGTGTGAAGGCTGGAAGCACGAAAGAAACGAAATCCCTCTCGCTTGAGTATTTGCTGCTAGTGTTGGGTCCGTGTTTGTTGTCGTGCGTGCCTCCGGCGATAGTAACTCCACCACAGGTCCCACGTTGTGGTTTTTTTGACTTGGCAATGCTCTCTCCACAAACTGCGGACGTGTCAATTGTACTGCATTTCCAGCTGCTTCCTGGCTTGACACCTAGGTTTACCAAACATATTGCTGCACGTTGTGTTTTGCGAGAGATGCAACGGGAGACGTTCACCGCCAACGAGATAAATATCGTTTCCCTTGAATTGTCAAGTGCCATCGCCGGGCAAGGTCTTCTCCACCTCAAGTTGGTAGTTTGGTGGGACGTTCGTTTGGTTCAACATGCACGTGCCGGGTTTGATTGGCTTGATGCGGCCGTCATCGCCTCCATCCATCGACGACAGAAATTTTCGAAAATATGGGGAGGGGGGTCGGAAAAGATTTTTTGGCAGGGGTACCTTGACATTTCAATACAAATTTAGAGATGTTTGGTATTGTCAGGGGTAGGTAGGATCATTTCGTTTTAGTAGGTCCCAAAGCTTCTTTGACATAGATCGGATCTCTCCGTGCCCCGGTGATCAATTTGGCATTTGCAACCAACCAAACACACGGGAAGCACGTGCTTCTCGTTGTCGCCAGCCCACCACGTCACAACTTGGAGGGATGGCTTCGCCGACCCATGCAGATATCCTCGCCAAGCCGTATGTACGCGGCGAGACGGACCTCTTTGAGTACCTGACGGCGCTCATGTCGACCAAGATCTTGATCTTTGACGGTGGCATGGGCACGATGATTCAGAAGCACAAGTTCACAGAAGAGGAGTACCGTGGTGAACGGTTCAAGGACTGGGAGCACTTGGTCAAAGGGAACAATGACTTGTTGTCAATTACCCAGCGTGACACGATCAAGGCAATCCACAAAGAATACATGACTGTTGGTGGTGCCCAGCTCATTGGGACCAACACGTTCTCTGGCACGACAATTGCTCAAGCGGATTATCACATGGAAGACTTGGTGTACGAAATTAACTTTGAAAGTGCCGCGTTGGCACGCGAAGCTTGTGATGAACTCACGGCGCTCGACCCCTTGACTCCTCGCTTCGTAGCGGGGTCGATTGGTCCTACGAACCGCACGTTGTCAATATCTCCCAACGTGGAGGATCCTGGCTTTCGCAACATCACATTCGACGAGCTTGTCCAAGCGTACTACGAGCAAGTCGAGGCGTTGGTGGATGGCGGCAGTGACATTCTGCTCGTCGAAACCATCTTCGACACGTTGAACGCTAAGGCCGCCGTGTTCGCCGTCAACAAGTATCAAGAAGATAAGGGCAAGCGAATCCCGCTCTTTATTTCTGGTACAATTGTCGACATGAGTGGCCGTACGTTGAGTGGCCAAACGACTGAAGCGTTCTATGTGAGTCTCCGACATTCCAAGCCGTTCTGCATCGGTCTCAACTGCGCCTTGGGCGCGAACCAGATGAAGCCGTTCTTGCGGCGGCTGGCTAACGTGGCCGAGTGCTTTGTGTCTGTTTACGCCAACGCTGGTTTGCCGAATGCGATGGGCGGGTACGACGACGACCCGTTGCTTATGGCCAAGTATTGTGGTGAATTCTGTGAAGAAGGACTGCTGAATATGATCGGCGGGTGCTGCGGCACGACACCGCTCCACATCAAGGCTATTGCAGACGAAGCCAAGAAGTCAAAGCCGCGTCCGCAATACATCCCGAAGGAGCCGTTCATGTGGCTCTCTGGGTTGGAGGACTTGATCGTGACAAAGGAACGATTTGCGTTTCTCAACGTTGGCGAGCGATGCAACATCAGTGGGTCGATTCGCTTTAAGAAGCTCATTTTGAAGGGCGACTACGGCACTGCGATGGAAATCGCGCGCGCCCAGGTCGAAGAAGGCGCAATGGTCGTCGACGTGAACGTGGACGACGGGATGCTGGACGGCGTGTCGGCCATGGAGCGCTTCCTCAAGATTGCAGTGACCGAGCCCGACGTGTCCAAGGTACCGTTCATGATCGATTCGTCCAAGTTTCACGTCGTCGAAGCCGGGCTCAAGTGCGTGCAAGGCAAGTGCATTGTCAACTCGATATCACTCAAAGTTGGGGAAGACGAGTTCATTCGGCACGCAAAGATCGTCAAGAGCCACGGCGCCGCTGTTGTCGTCATGGCGTTCGACGAGTTCGGTCAAGCGGCGACAGAGGAGGAGAAAGTTCGCATTTGCAAGCGGTCGTACGACATTCTGGTCGGCCCTCGCGTCGGGTTTCCCCCGGAGGACATTGTGTTTGACCCGAACATTTTGACAATTGCCACCGGGATGGAAGAGCACAACAACTACGGAGTGGACTTTATCAACGCGTGCCGAGTCATCAAGGAGCAAAACCCGTACTGCAAGATCTCGGGCGGAGTGTCCAACTTGTCGTTTGGGTTCCGTGGCGTCAACGTCATTCGTGAAGCGATCCACAGTGTGTTCTTGTACCATGCCGTCCAAGCAGGCATGGACATGGGGATCGTGAACGCCGGGATGCTCCAGGTGTACGACGACATTCCAAAGGACCTGCTCCAGATTGTTGAAGACGTCGTGCTCAATCGCTACCCTGAAGCGTCCGAGCTGCTCTTGGAGCGTTCGTTGCTCGAGCGCGAAAAGGCCGAAGCCGCCAAGAAGGGCGGCACCGGAGCAGCCGTGGCCCAGCAGGAATGGCGCACCAAGCCTGTAAGTGAGCGCTTGACCCATGCGCTGGTCAAGGGCATTTCCGACTACATTGACGCGGACGTGGAAGAGATGCGGTTGTTGTGCGAACGGCCGCTGCACGTCATCGAAGGGCCGCTCATGGACGGCATGAACGTAGTCGGGGACTTGTTTGGGTCGGGCAAGATGTTTTTGCCCCAAGTGATCAAAAGTGCACGCGTGATGAAAAAAGCCGTCGCGTATCTGCTGCCGTTCATGGAAGCGGAGAAGCTGGCCCAGCAAGCGAAGGACCGCGCTGACGGCATCGTAAGCGCCGACATGGACGAAAACAGCATGTACGCGGGCAAGGTCCTCCTGGCGACTGTCAAGGGCGACGTCCACGATATTGGGAAGAACATTGTCGGCGTCGTGTTGGGGTGCAACAATTACAAGATCATTGACGCTGGAGTGATGGTGCCATGCGAGGAAATCCTGCGCCTGGCCAAAGAACACAACGTCGACATCATCGGTCTCTCGGGGCTCATCACGCCATCGTTGGACGAAATGGTGTTTGTCGCAAAGGAAATGGCAAAGGCCGGCATGACCCAGCCGCTCATGATTGGCGGTGCCACCACGTCCAAGATGCACGCGGCTGTCAAGATTGCGCCGCAGTACTCGACCATCGACCATCCCGTCATCCACGTCTTAGATGCGTCCCGATCGGTTGTCGTCGTGGGCAACTTGCTCAAGGAAGACGAGAAGGCCGATTTTGCAGAGGAAATTCTCGAGGAGTACGAAGAGTTGCGCGAGGACTACTACGCGTCCATCGATGACATCAAGATGATCGCGTACGACAAGATCTGCGCCAAATCGTTCGCGATCGACTGGACGGCAAGCCCTCCGTATGGCAAGACAAACCAACTCGGAAACCGTGTCGTGGATGGCGTGGCGCTGGCGGACATTGTCCCCTTCATCGACTGGAATCCGTTCTTTCAAACGTGGGAGCTACGCGGCCGGTACCCCAACCGTGGGTACCCCAAGATCTTTGACGACGAGAATGTCGGGGCGGAAGCGAAAAAGTTGTTTGACGACGCCCAAAAGATGCTCGACGAGATCATCGCCAACAAATCCATGCAAGTCCGTGGTGTGTGCGGCATCTACCGCGCCGCTCGCAAGGGCCAAGATGTCGTCTTGTACCACCCCGAGCGCCGCGACGAAGAAATCGCCACCTTTGCAATGTTGCGCCAACAAGCCGAGAAAGAAACCGACGAGCCGTACATGAGCTTGTGCGACTTTGTCGCGCCGGTTGAGACTGGGTTGGAAGACCACTTGGGGATGTTTGCCGTCGGGTGCTTTGGCGTGGAGGAGCTCGCAGCCGAGTACGAAGCCAAACACGACGACTACTCCAAGATCATGGCCCAAGCCATCGGCGATCGCTTCGTTGAAGCCTTTGCCGAGTACATTCATCGTGAGATGCGCACCAAGTTCTGGGGTTACGCCGCAGACGAGAGCCTCGTCCAAGAAGACCTGCTCAAGGTCAAGTACGACGGCATTCGACCGGCCCCGGGGTACCCGTCCCAGCCGGACCACACGGAGAAGAAGACGATGTGGAACCTCCTACAAGCTGAAGCGCTTGGCCTCAAGCTCAGCGAGAACTTTGTCATGATGCCGGCGTCGTCGGTGAGCGCGCTGTGCTTTGCCCACCCCGAGTCGCAGTACTTTGCCGTTGGGAAGGTCGGGAAAGACCAGATCACTGCGTACGCCCAACGCAAGAAACAGAGTGTTGAGTTCACGGAGAAGTGGCTGTCCCCCATTCTCAGTTACGACCGCGACTAAATCGCGACGCACTCTCAAGGCATGCCATCCCAAGCTGATGCCATGCCTGAACACGCTATCGCACCGGTCATATGTGCCATTGCGTGGAGATTGCAAGAGCGACCCTTGTCGTGGGCGCAGAGATAGCTGCCAAAATAACAAGATTGTGTATTATTGCGTCACGTGAAGGACAGATTGTACAGTGACATTTGTTTTTTTAAATAGTAGCTGGAAGGCGCTGTCACGACGCAAAAGGTTGGTTTACCGGCATATACAGGGCGGAATCTCCGAGAGTGGGTTGGGTTGCGTCGCAAGCGACGTTTGGTTCTTGCAGTGCATCAGAGTTAGTAGGAAGCGCTCCACCATGAGACACGCTCCCCATGGGGAACTGCAGCCATGGGTCGGGCTACTGGACGATGCAGCATTGGTTGCACGAAACCTCCGTTGGCATGCTCGTGAAAGCGCTCGTCCATTATCACGGGGTTCCCAGCGCGAGTGGGTGGTGCGTGGAGGTTGACGTCAGGTCTGCCAATGGGTCGAAAGGTCCACTTGTCCCAGCAGCTCTCAACGTCCATATCGTTGTCCTCGTTAAATGAGCACAGCTCTTCCTTTTCGCATCTGCAACAGAGATAGACACAATGAGTCTCTACACGCCAAACGTAAAGACTAGTCTTCGTACCGATCAAGGGAAGCGCCACGAAAGATCAATTCGGGAGATGTCACCCGTCGTGGTTGCGGGACAAAGACGCGTTTGGCCTTGGCTTGTCGATCCAGGTCCGTGAGATCAAGGCCAGGATCCTTCTTGTCCAACGAACCGAGCAATGACGGCGCGCGATGACCGTCCATGCCACCTTCACTGCCGTAGTTGTTCAATCCACCGTCCTGCGGCGCGTTCGTCTGCAACTTCGCAAAACGACAACTGAAGAGTTTCGCAATCGATTTATATCGCATCCGGATACCCCAACAGGTGCACCAATCATTTGTCGTTCTATCCGGGCGATCCCTCCTGGATAGGAAGCGCGGTGGGGCGACAGGCGGCCAATATAAGCATGACAAACGACGACTGTGCACAGATCACGGCATATATGAACGTGTTCATCACGACTCTACTGCTTTACGCGTACATGATACCCAATGCAAAGCCAGCGGCGAAACCACCTGCATACATCAGACGCTACATCACTGCATGGACGAGGTGGGGTTTCTCCTACCCGACGAAGGAAGGTTGTGCTTGGACAACGCCAAGAACTTTTTCCACCAGATCTTGAAGTCATCGGGGGTGATCTTTCCGTCCCCGTTGGGGTCCACGGCCGCAATTGCGTCCTTCTCGACCTTCTTCCAGTCGATTTGAATGTATCCCGCCGACTCCGCCATCTAGAAAAAAGTACGGAATGCACATTCAGAAGAGAGCATTCCCATTACCTGGGCTCCGACAAACACCACACCAATCGCAACGGCAGCGATTTTCCCAATGGATTTGACTGCCATCCCCGCACAAAACCCCACGGCGCCGCCAAAGGACACTTGCCCAATCGAACCGCCGTATTGATCAATCAAGCGACTCACTGGGTCGTCCTTCTTGCCATTGCCCCCGCCAATGCCACTTTCACTCTATAGAATGTATTCTCATGAGTTTCGAACAGTCGACACACACAGATGCGAAGCGGGTTTCATACCTTCAGTGTTCTGGTGACCGCAGCTTGGCACTGCGCAACTGTGGAAGATTGAGACGGCGAGTTTGATATATGGGGCGATCAAACCATTCAAGGAAGACACGCAAGCCATGCCGAGCACACCCAAAGCGGTCACGCGCGCAGTCAGATGCTTGACGTTGAGCTTCATCGGCGCGGACGCACCTAACACATCACAAAAAGTGACGGACGCAACCATGGATACACAATCGTACCATTCGCGCGAGTGGCGCGAGTTACTAGTGTTCGAACCAACGAAGACTTGCGTTCAACTATGCGCACGCAGGCATCAGCGGCCGTCACGGCAACGGAGCGGACATACCAGCACGAAGCGATTGGGCCAGCATCTCAGCTGATGAAAATTGTGCGACTGGCGAGCTTGTGGCGAGCCGGATACAGCGTAGGTGATCGAGATATCCGGAAGACACAAAGTATCCGGACGATGAATATGCACCATCTTTACCACTGCACTCTCGCCACCTTCGCCCAGGCGGGCACCCAATGGAGGCAGGATGCATGCGCCCTCTCATTTGCATGCACTTCACTTTCGCCACACGTGTTACTTCAAGAATGTAGTGGATGGTGGGCGGTGTGACTCCATTGTCAACGGCCCAGCCGCCACACTGCTCGACGCATGCTGGTTGTGGCGGTGATTGGTGTTGAACCGCTTGAATCGACCAATCCCACCAAGCCTTTTCATTGACACATCCACCCCTGGAAACAAGCAGTACACTGTTGTGTGCCCTCCCTGGCTGCTGGTGGCGCAGCCGACACACTGTCGAACAATGGCGTCCAAGCCCACACACACGACCGTCCGACCGATGAAGTCCCTAACGAATCCACGACGTCTAAAATCCACCGAAATCTCCATCTCCGTTATCCGGATGCACCGTCGATCGAGTTTCACGCATAAACAAACAAGGTGGGCAATACTTGAAAGGTGTCCGAGAAACATGCTCAGGGTAGCGCGAGGCGGTAAGAGCTGCGCTAAGGTCTGTGCTCAACGATGCGTCCGGTAGTTGACTCCAAGAACTCGCTGGTTCGAGCACTCTCATCTCCCGTCAGAGGCACTGTCCTGCGGCGGATAGCAGTCTCAGGCCCACCATTGCACAAATCAGGCTGCAATCATATCGTGACCCGGCTTACCGTCATGAGTTTGCTGGGCTTGGCTGGCACACGCACATTCATCTGTAACTTCGAGCATTGGTACATTTCGTTGACGTTGCTCCTCTAGTGTCGCCAGCACTGTGCACAGAATCCTCACAAGACCGTTCGAAAAGCAGCGTAAGTTTCACACATAGTAACATCAGAAAAAGCTCATTCATGGCAGACACATATCCCCCGCAGCGACAGCGACATGAAAAAGTGTGGAAGCAGCCCTTTTTGTTCCTGGGAGGGGGTTGCGATGAGGTTCATATGTGGCGCCGCCGTTGGCACCGTGGCCAGTTTTACCGTCACGAGAGCAGCACTTGCAATTGTCGGAGTCATCGTGAGTTACCAAGTACGTATCCTCTAACTGCTGTAGGTCACATTTTTTAATTGCCTTGATGAGAACAGGTCGCCTCCGTTGTGGAGATCATTGCGAAGGAGTGGGAGGAAGTCGAAGCCTTCTTTGTCGCTACTTACATCGCAGACGGACGCGTCCAGTGGAGCAAGCTTCGAGACGATGCAACCCAGTATATTGGCGTTGACACGGCCACTACAATCGTCCGCGCAGGTGAAAAAATCCTGGCGTACCACAAGTGGGCCATGGCGAACGTTTACTCACGTACGTTTTTTCAGCATTTCCTCGTGATCTCTCACATGATTCTACATCCAGCTGAGTTCGCCATTGGCATTATTGCGGGAACCCTCAGCTAAAGCCAATTAACTTCGCTTGACAACGATGAAAGGCGGCTCGAACTTTATTTCTGTTATACCAGCAGTCCATACCAACATGCACTTGCTCGCATGTGCCATTGTCGGTACACATTGACTAGTGCGAGCAACACTAGTCACTTTGTAACCCACGATGACCCCTCCAAGGGCTGTTTTTGTGGTGGTGAACCTACCCACAATGCCAATGAGGCTCCTTAAAAACGACCTCCAACAGTAAATGGTTTGCTGCGATGTTTTTTTCATGTAGCTGTCGTCGCGGGGATATGTGTCCACCATGAATATGCGAAATTGCACCTGCAAGACTGAAAAGGGCGACTTCAGGTGTAGAGTGCATTGGATTGTTGCACTGGAACCGTGGTTCATCGATCCTTCCCAGACTTTGCAGATCATGGTGGCTTTTGACTACGATTCTGTCCAAGGGCTGTGCAGAGTGCGTTGTGCCACATGGAGTTGCGTGGAGTTGGCCATCACGCCCTGGCGACATCGACGATGTCGTTCGAACCGAGTCACGAAATTGAATGATTTAGGCGAATGTAGGCACCAAAACTTGTGAGAGTTGATTGTATCGCGTGTTTATGTGACGTCGTTGACTGGGAGGAGCGACGTTTGTTCCATCCTGACGCAACGCGAAGGAGTGTTCTCTCTCCTATACGCGGATCTGCAAGGTATTCGAGCACTTGTGCAGTATTATGGTGGAGGATTCGATAGCTCATGGAACTCCCATCGCTGAAAATGACAAAGAAATGCGTGATCCAGACCATTCGAGAATTTCGTTGAATTAAGGGAATACCATGTGGACTTGTGAAACTTTATATGCCCTCTTCCAGTAGTATAAACAGATATCGGACAATCTGAATCTCGCCGCGAGGCGATTCTCATGGCGGTGATGAATCCGTGGAAAGTGCGGGTGCTGTGCAGCACCCGGGATGCCGTCATGGAGTCGTCGCTGATTTCCAAGCAACCGCTCAATCCCCGTCAGTTTGAATACCATCCTGTCGATCCATCGCTGCTCGTGTTTGGAACATTTTCAGGACAAGTGGTGGTGTGGAACCACTCAGTCAACCGCGCGCATTTTGCGTCGAGGGCACACCAGCTGAGTCCAACAGAACAGGTTTTAGGGCTCTCATGGTTGCACAAACGCGAGTATCAAGATAGATTCGTGGTCGGGTCCCAAAAAGGCACGATCTCGTTGTGCTCAATGACCACCCCTTCCCAGCAACCACGTCAGTTTGTTCCATTTCCCCACCTCAGCTCCGTTCACGTGAGCATGGACGACCAGCAAGTCCTTGTGAGTGGCAATTCCCACTCTGTGCGCATTTATGACATGCAGTCCGGCCATATCGTTCGCACGTTCGACGACATTCACGAAAAGGAGATCAACCTTTCCAGGTACGGCACCCCTGAATGTGAAGATGATTGTATTAAATAACCACAGGTTCGCCAATTTATCCCCAACGCTCTTCGCGACCTGCTCGTTCGACAAAACTGTGAAGCTCTGGGACACCCGAAGCCCCACGACAACCCCCATCTACACATGTATGTCGGCAGGCGAGAACCTCACCATTTGCTTCTCTCCCGACGACCAGCGGCTGCTTGTGTCTGCAATCGATGACGAGTTCAACCAATTCAGCCTCCTGAACGGCAAGCTTGACTGGGGGTACTCTCTCCTGCACTTGGACGACAACTGATCTGGCATGCACGCAACGATAGGCTCGCCCCCCAAAGGCACGGAGACAAGTCATCGTATTCGCGGTCGTATTACACAACAAGCGGCAACTTGATCCTGAGGTTCGTTTTGTTTTGTTCTTGGAGAGAATACCCCTGAACACAATGCAAGTGGTTCGACGGACCACTCCGTTGTGCGCATGTACTGCGCCCACACCGGTCGCCTCTTGCATGGATCAATCCAGTACTCTGGCCGCAAACAGTCGGCTCTGCACACGCTATCACTGCGAGCAAATCCACACGACGAGTTGAAATTCTGTGTACGAAAATATGCCACAGTCACAAGGATGAGACTGAATGAATGGCTGCTGTAGGCGCTCGTGGCGTACACGGATGTGTGCCAAATCAACGAGTTGATCGAAAATACGATGGTCGGGACTGGCCAATCGTCCGATGCTGAGTACATCCACACGTTTTCTCCGTCTTGGGAATTCCGACAAGCGACAACGGCCACTCTGCTGGAGGATAAGGAAACAGCTGACGTCGAGTTCTCAGTGCATTCGCAGTGCGTTCGAGCCCATTCGATTGTGCTTGCTGCTCGGTCGCAGCGGTACGAGCACCATTGTCGGCTGTGGCCATGACCAATGCCCATAGATTGGCTGCACTGCTGACAAGTCCCCGCGAAGGTCGACCATGTGAAAGTCCTGTGGCTTTTGACCAAGTCACGGACGATGGCGCCCAGTTAGTCGTATGTGGGTATCGCTTGCGCGTGTATTGTTCGATGACGTCGCTGCGCGCGTTTTTGGTGTATTTGTACTCGGACAACGTCGACATGCCGGATTACGACCCGTCCACATGTCAGCATCTCGTACATTTGGCGCTTTACTTTGACCTCCCGCACCTCGTGTCGCTCATCGAGATGAAGTGCTCGCAGAACCTGTCGATCCAAAATGTCCGCTCGGTGTCGAACTTTGCGCTCCAAAATCAACTCCACCAACTCCTGTCGTCGTGCCTGCGGTACCTCATCATGCATCGTGGCGTGATCGGGTCTCTGCAAGGGTGCTACCCCAGTATACGGTACTTGCTCAGCGAAGAACTCAAAGGATGTACCTACACCCAAGGCATCCTGGAGTGTTACGGCCATCTCTGCATCGTCGACTCGTTGCATCGGTTGGTCCTCATCGGCGGCATTTGCCACTCGACCATTCACCCGAGCTACATCTCACCCAAGCATGTTCTTGTTCTCGACATGGAAGCCAGTCTAGGCACGAAGGTCAACACAACGGGCGACTGTCCTTCATCACTCGTGTTCAGCGCCGCCTGCGCCATCGATGCCGTCAGGTACATTGTGTGCGGAGGGGGGCACTCCCAGCAACCGAACGACGACCTTCTACTCTTCGACTCACGAGAGTTCCGATGGTCCAAAGTGGATGTGGTATCCACCTCATCTCCTGTCCTCGGGCGTGTGGGTCACTCTCTGACGCGAGATATGTCGCCGCAAGGAAGTCGATTGATCCTGTTTGGAGGCTGCAACGTCCGCACGAAGGAGTACTACAACGATGTCCATTGCTTGAACATTACTCAAAACAACCGACTCGACTGGTCATGTCCGATGGTGTTGGGTACCCCTCCACTGGCATGCATGGCGCACTCTGCCACGACCGTTTACACCAAGAACTCTTTCGACGACGACTGCTCCGTTATGGTAGTGTTTGGCGGCGCGGGCCAAGGCTACGTTCTCAGCACGCTCAACATTCTGCACATGTCGGAAACGTACTTTCGATGGGAAACCCCAGAGACAAGTGGCCGTGCACCGGGTGCACGGTACGGTCACAGCGCCGTGTGGGTGCAGCCAAAATCTACCGAGAAGGTCAATTCGATCCTGATCTTTGGTGGAGCGCTATCGTGCCCGTGCCAGGACTTATTCGTGGTCGAAATCTCAATCGGGGGGCAACACAAACCGTCCTATGCCACATGGTCACTCGTGCAGACGCAGGGTGTGCCTCCGTCCCCTCGCTACCGCCACTCGGCTGTGCTGTCATCCTGCGCTCGATACATGCTGGTGTGTGGCGGAATTGGCAATGACAGTGACAAGCCAATGTCGGATGTTGTGGTGCTCGATCTCGTCTCGAACGAGTGGGCAAACGGAATTATCAAGACAATTGAGCCAGGGGTGGATCATTCGATCATTGTCCAACAGTCGAAGTGGTACACGGATATAGTGAACATTGTGGACTCACCAGCCCAAAGCGACGTTGTTTTTTTGTTCGACGCCGACACGCCGCCACTGCATGCCCACTCGCTCTTCCTCAAGCGATCTCTTCACATGCGCCGTATGCTCCAGACTGGTATGCTCGAAAGTGTCCAAGGCACCGTGTCGCTCAACAAGTCCAAGTCTACCGTCCGCGCGTTGCTCGAATTTGTGTACACAGACCGCCTTCGCGTCCTCCCAGGAGACCTGCTGGAATTGCTTGATCTTGCCCATTCGTTCAACATGGCTATCCTGTCCATGCTCCTGCAGGTAGTGACACTTGACGGGAGGTTGCCATAATGAACTGTAGGGAATTGCCGTGAATTTGCTGGACGAAGTGAATGTTGCATCAATGCTTGTGTTTGCCGACATCCACGACCTCAAGTCGTTGAAACTCGGGTGCATTACGTTCATTTTGCAGCGCTGGAGGTGGGAAGAGGCCAAGGGCTTGTTTCAAGACGAAATCGGCGGCGCTCTCCGCGACGAGCTTGAGCTGTGGGGCTCCACCCCTGGGCATGCGTACATGTTCAACCAAGCCCAGTATCATATCACCGTGTAAAGGCACCCATTGCGTGGCGTCTGTATTCCCGGTGTCGGATCTGTATTTATCTCGTTGGTCGGAATTATTGCAACGCTAAACTCTATTTTATTCAATCAACTGACACTCTTTAGTTTCGAAACATTCACAGTTATCCTTGAGGATTCAGTCCAAGTCGTCGTCGCTATTGTCGTACTCGGGGTCGACCGGACTTGCGTCGTTCGATCGCTTGCCATGTGCTGCTTTCTGCTTGGCTTTCGATTGCAACAATGTGTGCCTACCGATTCAACTGTAAGCCCACAATGCGTTGTGATCTCCCGTTTGGATTCCTTTCAACGTACCCAACGACTCCAATGCGCAGCTCAAAGTTCTTGATCTCGGCCTTGAGGGTCTGAAGGGCGGCTTTGATTTGCACCAGTGGCGATGTATCCGTCATTTTGCTGCCCTTGTTGTCCATATCCGACTGAATAAAGAGAACGCGCGGTATTTAGCAAAGGACAACGCAAAGACGGGCATGTGCGCACCTTGGTCTCACGCAGCTGCTCCGTGATCTCCGAGTGCTGGTTTGTCATCGCGTTGACCTTCTCGGATCCTTCTTTACACCGCTCCGTGATTGCTTGGAGCTTCTCCTTGATCTGATGGTACTCTTGACGCTATGACGACAAGTTAGCGACGCCTGCCGTGCGCAGTAACCTCACCAAATTATCGAATTCGTTGTTGATGTGCTTTTCCTTCTCCGCCATGCGCTGAATCACTTCCGAGAGCTGGCTCGTGATTGCTTTCAGTTGCGTCGTGGTGCCAGCCAGGTTCTCTGTGATGGTCTACCCCGCTCATGATGCGACCACTACATGCAAAATAATTGTTTTCGAGGTCGTACCACACTGTGCTTTTTGGTCTGCTCAATGTGCGTGTGCCACTCCTTCCCTTCGTCTTCCTTCATCTTGGCCTTTAACTTTGGCCCTACTCGCTCGAGCTCGGTCTTCCAGAGTAACGGGTCGACCGTCGTCAAAATGATTTGCTTGGTTGACTCTTCCAGGTCGTTGTCTTCGACTTTGCCGCGAGTTGTGTACATTTCCTCTTCTTCCTCGATGGGCACTTCGTCTTCCGCCTCGACTTCGAGGTTCTCATCGACCTCGGCCTCCTCGGCGTATTCTTCTTTCGGGTAATTTGGCTTGGCCCAAGCAAACCCCCGGGCCGCAAGTGCCTTGTCGCAGATAAACTCGAGCGTCGTGCACACGGCTTCGCCATACCCTTGCTTGAGCTTTGCGGCAGGAAAGTCCAGCGGAAACCCCAAGATTTTGAGCGACAATATCAACTTGTTCACGCTCGTGTTTGGATCGTCATACTTGTCCACGACAAAGTCTTGCTCGCACACCTTCATGAGGAACACGACTACATCGAGGAAGCTCTTGAATTGAGCACTATAGCCATGCGATTAGAGGGAGCCAGGAAGTGGGCAGCCACGGCACCATCGCACCTTGCATTCTGTGCCACCAGCGCAAATTGTGTGTCCGTAAAGGCGACGAAGTTCTTCTTCTTGGACATTTCCTTTTCGTACCCCAAGATGCGGAGTTTCTCTAGCGCGTTCCCCATCGCGGTCACTGCAGCATCCTACGCCATCGGCATCGTGAACTGGTAGCCACTCCATCACTAGGCACAGGCTCTCCTACATCTCTCGAGCGCGGCTCCTTGTTTGCGTCTTCACCCTTGGTCGTGTCCACGTCATCTGCTTCATCTGCCATCTTCGAGATTGAAAATCGCGAACGGGCGGCCGTTGGCTGAGGCGGTTTCAATTTCGTAACCGGCAATTATCGGACTATCCAAAAACGAGAAAAACGGGAAAATTTGGCGAATTAATTACGTAATTTACGACGCACAGCGGGCGTTGATAATTCAATCATGCGGGTGCTCGTCCGCTCCAATGCCTTCTACGTCCATGCAAGCCACCCGTCAGATGCATGCAACAGCCCTGCATGTCGAAAATGTCGACGTACCTGTGTCCTGGCACTTTTTCGAGGCGACGAGGGTGACGGCGACACCTCCATCAGCCGTTTTGAGGTCCGTAGCTCGATCAACTCCGCCAGGGGGTTTGGTGCGTCTTGTGTGTGTCGATTTCGTCTGCGTTTCTGGTGGGACGGCGTCTTCTCGGGGTTACGAGGACGGTCTTTATGGTTCTGGGCTCCATTGGGGTCATTCTCGACGAGTTTGGAGAGCGGAACATCTTCGTCGGTGGTAAGTTCAGACCCCGGGTCGTCGGGTACAGCACCACTGCATCCTTTGTAATGATCGCATGCCTGAAACAGTTTGTCAGACCTGGCCGCCATTGACACACATATAAATGTACCAGAAGATGGAGGTCCACGCTCTGTCGTATCGGCGTCAGGAGGCAAATGTGCTGGCACGCGACCCGACCCTGTCGATTCGATTTGACATGTGTCGCAAAGAACCGTTCAAAGCTGAGTAATTTCTTGGATAGAATGTCGAAAACTTGGCCGTCTAGACGAACGCTGAGTGATGCAATGACAAATCCTTAGTGAATCGCACCTCGCAGCTCACCGAGAGCTTCTTCGCTCACAAAGCGGTCGCGCTTGACCGAGTAGAGTGTCACATGCTTGCCCTGGAGATGAGAGCACATGCTCACTTCGACCTGTCGTCGACGGGGTCCCAACACCTTGAGCACTTCTTCATCCTCTATCTCCGATTCGAGCGGAATATACACTTTTTTCCCATCCTTGTACACGATGTTCTCATTGTTCTTGGATGCTGTTTTAGGCTTTTTGGTGCATTGATCCATGGCCTTCTTAGCTTTGAGCATGGACGATGTTCGCCTCAGGAGCGAGGGATGCGCCTTCGCGAGATCTAACGGCGGTGGGGACGCTAACGCTTCCAGGGCTGCGAGGGACGCCTTAAGCGCTTGAGCACTGTCGGTCGTGCGTTTTTGCGTCAACTCCTTGTTGCGGCGTATGATGTTGCCGAGGATTGGAGCCGTTGTGGCGGAAGGTACTGGTCTTACGTCGTTGATATCAAGAACTGGGAGACCGTTACCAAGCCCCATACACGTCATGGACGCGATAACATTGCGTGTAAGACTATCTCGTACGAAAGGCGCCGACACACACCGCAGCAGCATGTGCACGTCTTGCAGAAAGGCCGTGTCGTCGTCGTATTGGTGATGGCGCATCTTGGTTCGAATGCAACGAAGCTTCCATCGATATACCTCCGACGATGCCGCAAAGACTTCTACGCCATTCACATGCACCATGGACGATAGCACGAACCCGTACGACGTATATCGAGGTAGGATGTCTCCGTCCTCGGCGCCGGCGCCCATCCTGGTGGATTTGCACCGGTGGAGCTGATACGGTGAACAATTTGACCAATCTAACGACATATTTTGATTGGACAAAAGAAGTGGAAATTTCGGCTCAAGTTCAATCTGATTGGTTTTTTGGGACACAGGATCTTCAAGGCGAGGTTCCGATGAAACCCGTCTTGGTAGCGCGATAGGTGTCATGCCATTGGTGATGGAGACCTCATTCGGCAAGATACACCGTCGACGCTGTGGCTGACAGAGTCTATTTAGTCCGATCTAACGGTCGGATGAAGTCCCGCTCCAATCTCAGAAGGGTTAAACCCCTAGTACAATGTTTGCAAACCTTTCACGCATCTTGAGATATCATGTGTTGGCAAGCGCTGATGCATGACCGAGTTCTTCACAACAGAACCCATTACCTTGATCGCCACGGTTATGCACATGTCAAGTAATTGCATCCAGAACCATTCAAGGCGAGAGGTGCAGAGGGCGATGCTGTCAATGGGGAAGTGCCCTCTTGAGTCGGTCGACCTTGGTCCTCCATCCGGATCCGGTTGCGAGCCCACAGCGGTCGAAAATTCAAACACGACGCCATCGCAATGCCGCGAAAGAAGGGAGTGATCTGGTCGTTCTTCAATGACCTGCCGGACGACGAGTCGTCGAGATTGAAGATGAGTCGCGTCGAGTGCAAGTACTGCAAAGGGAACGTGGTCAAGAGTACTAGCCGCCTTCGCTCGCACTTGCGCATCTGCCCCAACTTTGACGGCGCTCTCATGCCACCACTGGATGACGACGACGACGACGATGGTGTGCCCGATTTCAAAGACTCCAAACTCGCCAAAGATGACATTAGCAAGGGGGATTTGTACCATCCATTCAGTCGATATATTGACCACACGCTTCTCAAGGTACTTGCGTCTTGCGAAAAAGGTGCTTGACGAGAACATAGCCCGATGCGACACCTCATGACATCGCTGCACTGTGTCGCGAAGCCCACGAAAACGGATTTTACTCTATCTGTGTGAACAGCGTGCATGCCGCGTATGCTCGCCAGGTGTGTCCTTCGTGTTTGATCAACGCTTGCCTTGGTTTCGAAGTGTGGGAGTAGGTGCTGGATAGCCTCGAAAAGAAGGCGAAGCGAACAAATGGTCATCATGTCAAGGTGACGTGCGTGGTCGGTTTTCCATCTGGAGCAACTCCGTCTGAAATCAAGGCTCTTGAAGCTGCGCATTGCCTCACAGCGGGTGCCGAGGAGATCGACATGGTTCTGTCGATTGGACACCTCAAGAGTGGCGACCATGCCTACGTGTTGCGTGATATAAGGTACCTACGTCCCGTCAGTTTGAGCTCAACGTGTTTGCTTGTAGTGCAGTGGTATCAGTGTGCAAGAAGCACAACGCTGTGAGCAAAGTTATTCTGGAAACCGCGTTACTTTCAGAGGCGGAAATTGAAACGGCGAGCCACTTGGCCATCTCAACCGGAGCCGATTTCATCAAAACGTCGACGGGATTTTCAACCCGTGGGGCGTCCGTTCACGACGTTCAACTCATGGCGCGCATTGCCCACCCGCGAAATGCCCAAGTCAAAGCGAGCGGGGGCATTCGGTCGTTGGAGGAGGCGCAAATGATGATTCACGCGGGGGCGACGCGACTCGGCACGTCGGCCAGCTTGGCCATTGCGCAAGCCATTCCCCCTCCGGCGGCCACCACGACGAATGCCTCAGTTGCGCCCGTCGTTTCAACCGACTACAACATGAGCCTTTGATATCACTTGAACGAATACACTCCCATGTTAAGACACACAATTGGTATTCCCTTCTCCGGTCAAAGATCACAACTGGTCGTGATTCTGACAGAACTAGTTTTTTCGGTGATGGCCAGCCCCGCGGACGTTCCCTGCCGAGTCGCCCCAACCTGATTCATCAACTGTGCGTCGTCCGGGCACCGGATGCCCCTACACGCCTTCAGTTGGGCGCTGTGTGGCCTCGCGAATTGCGCATGCGATGAAAGTCGCAGGCTGACGCTCCGCAGGTCTAACAATAAAAGGATTTCAGAGTCACTAAAAAGTTGGACCCAGTGAATTTGAAAAGCCGAGATGCAGCTTCGACCTCTGCTTCTGTGAACAAAGCCGTCTCCAAATATTGACATTGCATACGACATTGACGCGGCACTTGCACACTGCGACGACCGCACTGACCCACGAGGACGTCAACCTGGTGGTTCATCGAGTGCAGGAATTCCTCAGTTCTTGCACCATGCAGGCGTGCCATTCATTCACCCACAGGAATCACCGTGTCGGAATAATCTCATTTGATTCGTTAAAAATACTGAGATTTTCGACTTTTGTCCAATGAAATGCCGTACGATTCCTGTTTTCTTACACAAGAGCTCAGCATGACCGATCAACTTAAACGTGTTCTGGGGTTGCTCGATCCCATCGTCGCAACCCATCCTCACCACGCTCAAAGCTAGTACTGACCGACTGCGACATCGTTGCCGTGTGTAATTGCGACGCCTCCTGACGTGCCAAGTCGAGTGGCACCGGCAGCGACCATCTTATGAGCATCTTCCAGAGTTCGGATTCCGCCGCTGGCTTTGACATGGACGTTTCGAGGGTGTGCGATGCGACTCATCGTCGTAACATCATCAATCGATGCCCCGCGAGAGGAAAAGCCCGTGGACGTCTTAATGAAATCGGCTCCTGCTGCGATGGCCAAGTGGCTAGCCGTCTCGATCTCGGTTTCTGTCAGCAGGGCTGTCTCGAAAATCACTTTGCACAACGCGCGTTTGGCTTTACACACGGTCACGACAGCACTGCACACTACGTAAGACTTCGCTCGAAATGCGATGAAGGACCCGACGTACCAAATGTCTCGCAGCACGTACGCATGGTCACCCGCTTTGAGTTTTCCAATAGCTATCACCATGTCGATCTCCTCGGCCCCATCGTCAAGGCATTGCGTCGTTTCGAATGCTTTGACGGCAGTCGATGATGCTCCAAGTGGGAAACCCACGACACAACACACTTTTACATGGCGAGGACATGTCGAGCGCTTGAGGGAGTCGCGTGTCAACGTGTCCAGCACCTGTGCTGAAACTCATCAGCTCTCGCTCACAAGAATATACGAACCTCTCGTGCGTAGGACGCGTACATGCCATTGACGCACACGGACATAAATCCGTTCTCCACTGCCTCCTTGCACAACACTACAATGCTGTCGGGTGTTGCATCTGCCTGCAGCAATTCGCTCTGTCAGGCAGATTAAGTCATCGGCAAGTCACGTACTTTGAGAAAGGTGTGGTCGATGAGTCTACTCAAAGGATGGTATATCGCGTCGGACTCAGCCTTCACAGCGTTGCTGTTGTCGGTTGCAAGAGTGCCTGCAGGCAGACAGCCGTCGAAGCTGGGGCAGTTCTGCGCGTGAAGGTGCACCGACTTGGACACAATATCTTTGCAATGTTTGCATTCCATGCTCCCCATCTTCATTACGGTGTTCTCGTTCATCGGTACGTCGTCAAACTTGTTCGACATCGCTGGTTGCCGTCTGCCGCTCTAAAATATAAGTGCTTGATTCACCGACTCTGTTCCCCCCATCTCCTGGGTGGTTTTTATCGACTTCAAGTAGGTTTTATACCGATCTTGCGACACGACAGGAATACATGAACGAGAACGTTAAACTGTTCACAGGTTAAACAACACCGGAAAATTTCCGGATGTGACCATATAACCTTCCTTTTTTGTTGAAGGTGCGCCCGAGAAGACGCGCGATCGTGGACGTTCCACACGTGCAGCCGCCAGGATGACGAAGGAAACGACATGCAGAGTACGAAGTGCGAATGTCAGCTCCAAGCAGGCGCAGCAGGTACGACGGACGCATCAAGTGGTTTTTCTCTCGTTTGCTCGAAGTTTCACGAGTTGGGCAGGCGGAAAATGAAATTTCCGTGTCATGCGCATTTGATATCACCACTGGGAACATGATGGGAGATCTCGAATCGCTGCTGGAGATGGACGTGGATGTATACACCGAACAGGAAGAGCACCTTGGCTTTGACCCATGCGTGTCGTTGGAAACACTGGTTAGCGATTTCAAGTCATGTCAGGGACGTATGGACGAGAACGACCCGTAGGCCCTTCAAAGTCCTCATGGCAGCAACTCCGTCGAAAAGACATGGAATGAAGATGGCGATAACAACGGCGTGGCTGCAACCTCCGTCGATCCCTCACCTGAAAGTTTCTCCTGCACACAAGAACGACGACGGCTCTCGCTGAGGAAAGGTTTGATCCATACGATGAGGATGACACGTCCCTAAGCCTCGTATGCGGTAGAGCTGTTTCAGCATAGAATAAAAGCCCAGGATCTGTCGTCTCCAGGGCCCAGAGCAGGAAACGACACCGATGGCATGACGTCACTCCGTCCTTCGTACGAAGACCCCGAATACGACTTGGCGTCCCCGCTCGCCCTTCCTCCATCACCAACATCGTTCCTGGAGCCCTATGATGACGCACTTGGTCATTCTTCATGTCTTAACAACCAAGACGACGTCAGGTTGGACCCAATTCTGTCCAAGGCAAGCCCGGCGTCCACAAGACTACGCGTCCCCAAAGTCAAACACGGAGGCATATATTCGTTATTGCTCAAGGGGCTCAAGCGCCCCGAGGAAAATGATTCGGCCGTGCTCGTGGAGTCTACCAAGGACAGCGCAGCAAAGGGCCATTCATTGGTGTGCGTCGGCACAGACACGTTTGGTGAAATGACCGCACTTGGTTCGGACCTCTCCACTTCATCCATGGTATATGAAACTGTGATGCCACCGAATTGTAGCTCAAGCGTGCTGTGCTCTAGCGCATGTCGCCTTCGCCTTCCATGATGCAAGTTCGGCATGGCGGCATTTATCGGTTGCTGCGCGAGAAAACGTAGTGTCCCTCCGTGTGTTAACTCAAACTTGTTGTACAATTCTGGCATGCCTCGCAGCATATCTCGAGTCTTTTGGATTTGACGAACATGGCGTGATCTATCGTCGCCCCTTCGTCTTAACTTGACTCACAAGGGCAGACTTGTTCGTGAGGATGTTTATCCTGAGGAGTATTGCCGATTCGGAGGAAGCCAGTTGTATGCCTTTCTCATCTCTGGCCAACTGCGATGAACACCTCAACTCCTCACGGTACTTGACACAATACTCCATCCATGAGGCGTGCATTTCGTCCGTGCTCTCGTTTTATTAATCAGCCGCTCGCACTCCTCTGCATGTGCCTTGCCAGCCAAAGTTGTTGCCCTGCACACTCGCGCCATTCAGTTGCTCTGTTCTGTGTCGCATCGTTTGAATTCACTCACCGTGTTAGATGTCGTGCCGAAACTGTTATGCTCATTTTATCTCGTCAAGAGGAGTATTTCGCTCGCTCAATTCATGTCTGTGTACTCCATTTTAATCATGTTCCAATGTACTAGTACATTGCGTTCCAAGGTAACAAGGTACATGGTTTTGTCCAATTATTGCACATGTCACGAAAGTCTCGAAATATTTCAGGGAGTTGTTTTGAACGATGCAGAACTTGCTACAACACGCCCCCGTTAAGTCCACACTTCGTACTCAGGAGTAAATAAAAATATGAAGTGATATTTCTATAGATATTTCGTACTTTATCCAACCAGACCCACTTTTTATGTAAAAATAGTAAAAAACCGACTCGAGTGCGATCGAACCTAGGGAGGGCGCAAACGGACGGGTGAGGGAGCGCCGCATTTTCAGAGCCAACACATTCGTGCCAGATCACCATGCCCAACGTCAAAGCTGAATTCGGAATCGCCCTTGCTCTTGGTACCGGTCTGGGCTTGGTGTGGAAGAGCTATGCCGATGGCGAGTTGAAATCCTTCGACGCCTTCTACCAAAACTTGAAGAAGAAGACCCAGCGCAGCACTGAATAGACTACGGTCCACGACATGGCGACGTGACCACAATCCACAGGTTTGTGTCGCGACTCGTGCCCTACCAACTTACCTTGAATGCTCCATTGCCGTACCCTGTCGTAACAGCGTTCTCTAATGGAAGATGTCATTTATTCTTCGTATCCAACGGTCCCTTTGTGTCAACCTTTCTCGTCGTTTACTTTGCCCGATGGAATGTGGTCATCGAGCAAGTTACGAGCTGTGCACCGGACGAAAGCGGTGCGGGGCTAGTGACGTTGATCTCGGGCATTCGTGTCCTTCAAATCGGACATCCCATCACATGATCGTACAATCTTGGAAGAGGTCATGCACACCTCCACTGGTCTTTGTCCATTCCATTTTGTGGTTATGAAACGGCCATTCCAAGTGCAGTGGAACGTCCAAACTCATCGCGCCCACGCCGCAGGGAGAGTTGTGATGAGGATCTATATTCACCTCGAACCGACCAGCGAGTACGCCGAATGGACTTTTGTGTGCAAAGCACCGCTGACGCACGTCCACGAAGCAGTATCGGCATTCGCAGACGCGTATAATCGAAAGTTTACTGCTGTGACGCATCGTCTGTGCCCGACGTCACTCACAGTAACACTGACGAATTCCAAGAAACCCGTCGACCCGAACAAGAAGATCTCCACACTCCTCGATGAAGCCGTAGGACCGTCCTTGACAGAATCATAAACGGGTGTACGGTTGACGCCCATCGACGTAGGACTCGTGCGAGCTGACATTAGAGCCCCAAACACCGCAACCCGTCCCAACTTTAAGCCAACCAACCACGACACATGCCTCAGCGGATGGAACCGACTTGATTCTCGCGCAAGCTGCAAAGCATAAGCAAAACCAGGCGTGGAGGTCGGCCAAAGCACGTAGGTTTCGTCGCTTCATAAAATGCATCGGTTGTCATGATGCAGGCAGTGTGGGAGGTGGTGCTGGCCGACATGGATCCGGTCAACGTTGTCGCGATGCAGGGGATGGTTGACCTGTACGTTCAAAGCTCGCAGTGGACGAAAGCAAAGGCGTGGACTGCCAAGATGCTACCCCTCGTGACCACCACGGCCAAAGCAGCAGTTCGTCTTCAGTCGGCCAAATGTGACGTGCGCCTCAAGCAGTATGGCCAAGCTGTGACCATTTTGCAAGAGCTCTTGTCCGACCCAATTTTATCGGTGTGAATGTGACGTCAACCCGACGTGCTTGACGCGTCGTTCTGTAGCCAAGTGTTCATCACGACGCCACCATCCTGCTCGCGCACGCCTTGTACCATGGTGGACAGAGGAAAGAACAGGACGTGGCGATTTCGATTCTCGTTAGCATGCTCCAGGAATCAAATGAGTCCGACATGGATGCGATGGCATT